TGGTTCATCGCCTAATTCTGGATACAGAAAAGCAAGGATTTTTATAGGAGAGAGATTTCAGTTAGTTTCTAAGTTCCTTTCCCCTGATGAAGTGACATTGAGATTGATTGAATTCCTCTTCTGTTTTTGTTCAATTGTCTTTAAATTTCATGGTATTTGAAGAGGGGCTTTGCTTCTTTTACATTTTTAAATTCATTGTTGCATTTATATGCTTATTTGAAATTTATTAATTATGGATTTCAATTTCTGGTCTTTGTGAAATATTAGTTCCAAATTTCTTACTTTATGTCTTTAATGATAATATTTCTGCAGCTTATGCACGAAAATAACTTGGCATGTTTGTGTTTTGTTTTTAAAAGAATTATTTTGTATATATATATACATGGTGTCCTAGGATTATTGGGAAAAACTTTACGGGAGATAGGGGGCATCGCAAGGATTCAGATATGCATAGCAATCCATGGCGGGAAACGTCTTTGTTCGGCACTAGGTGGCAACAGACCTGCATTGCCGCAGTCATTTGAGCTGTCATCGCCCACAGAGGAGTAGGAAATGTTTTGCAAACAACAAGCTGGCAGATATGCACCTGATTTTGGATTGGCAGAAGGCATGAGCAGCAGAAAGATTGTATCACGAAAGGTATCCACAGAGAGATGTGCTAGACCACCTGGATGTTTACTAATTTGCATCACAATTTGTGTGAATAAGGATTATTATGATGTAATAGGCATAGTGAGGGCAGGCCACGAGTGCCTCGAACTCCCAGCATGGAGCAAAATGTGTTGGATACCATTCGAAGAAATCCAAGTACCAGTGTATGAGCCGTCGCGGCTGCCGTTGGAGGATTGCAAAGCAGTGTTCATTGTGTTTTGCAAAGTGAAGGCTTTTACCCATACCATTTTCAAAGGTTCTTTGCTCCCCACAGATCATCCTGTGCGTGTGCATTTTGCACGGTGGTATCTCGACCACTATCACCAAGAAGCGCATTTCCTATCCTACGTTTTATTTACGGATGAAGCGTACTTCATGTGAGATGGTGTGTTCAACCACTGCAATGTGCTATTATGGGATGGCAAGCATCCCCATGGCATGAGACCACATGCTGCCTGACATCTCTTTTCAATGCATGTTTGGACTGCTGTGGTCAGTGACTTCTTAGTTGGACCTTACTTGTTGCCAGCACCTCTAGCATCTGCAGATTATCTCATGTTTTTGCAAGAAGTGCTACCAAGCTTACTTCACCCTTTGCCACAACATGTCAGATGCCATATGTGGTTTCAATATGATGGGGCACCTCCTCATTATGCCAGATCTATTCATGAACATTTGAATCAGGTATTTGGTCACTGATGGATTGGGCATGGCGGCCACCTTGCTCTCCTGATTTAAGCAGCATGTATTTCTTTCTATGCGGGTGCACTGAAAAGTGCTGTCTACTCAACACCTGTGGATTCAATAATGGATCTGGTGGCCAGAATTGTCTGTGCTGCTGCAGATATCCAACAAAATTCAGGTGTCTTTGAACAAGTCTGCCAATCCATGGTTCGACAGTATAGTCATGCATTCTTGGAAACTTTAAACATCTTTTGTGACATTTTCACAAATCATCTATCACAGCACATGTAATATCTTTGACCAATAAATATTTCAGATGATCTAAGTCTTGTGTCTCTTCGTTTCTTGTACTTGTCATGCTATTTTTTCATAACATTTCTGACCATGGGCTGCTATGCAAATCTAAATTCTTGTGATGTCCCTTACCTCTCCTTAAAGTTTTTCCCACTGATCCTGGGACAGCCTATATATATATATATATTCGCTAAATTACCATCCACAAATAGAAAATTAGGAAATTGTGTGCCAAGTAGTATTTTACCTTGCCTTTGTATATTGCTGCTCTTAAAGTTACTGCAACTTTTACACTGTTTTAAGGCTTTCAGCAAAATTACTTTTCTGTAGTTCTTTCTCAACAAAATGGCTAAACAACTAGCAGCCATTTTTTAGGAATTGACTTACTATTTGTAAGTAATAATTTAATTTTTGGCTCTAGCTTTGTACTTTCATAAAACAAAATTTTAATTCTAAAACTATATTCTATAGTTTTTATTTATTGTAAAAATAAATTGTAAATATGTTCTTTTGTTTTATATTTTCAAGATATTTTGTTATTTGATCATATATGCATTCTTTTATAGTATACTTGGGTGTTTTATCCAACATTACTATGGGTTTTTATTAGTAGTCACATCATGTTGGTGTAGTTTTCCTTATCTGCTTAAATATAAAATTTACTTGAATTAACTTAATTGAGTTAAAATATTAACTTAAATTATATTAAATCAAATTTTCACTCAAGTAGACAGGGAAGCTGAAAGCTCGATTCAGATACTTAATTGTTGAATGATAATATTGAGAAAGGCTAATACCATTTGAAAAGGCAGCCTTTTCCCATGAAATCAGAAATAATTAATTTAATTAAAAGTATTTTTTTATAAAATGCATCTTTAACTGACAATAATTTCTGCTGTTGTAATAATTTTCTAATTACAGAAGTTTCTACTCTAAAATCATTTCTAAAGGGATAATCTCTTTGCTTAATAAATATATATATTGCAAATTCTTAATAATGAACTCTTTTTTGAAGTGTTAGACTGTAATCTGAAGTTTTCAGATTGCATCCCTCCGTTTGCTATGCACTCATGCATAAAATTAAGATAATTTGCAAATTACATCTATGTTTATAAAAAGTAATAAAAACCAAAGGTAATAATTAGGCAGCCGAAGAACTATGCAAATATTCAAAGTTGAATACATAAATACAGCCATATGTATTTGTGGAGCACATGAGGTGTTTTTGGCAATTTGTGTGCTCGTACTTCTTCACAGTATTCACCATGTTTCTTGCAAGAGTTGGGTAACATTTATGACATATTAGGTAAAATGAGTAGCCGCAAATGTACGGATGATGTAATTAGATGTTGAATTGTCAGTAGATTGAGGGCAGGTTAATAACATGCACAGGTGGCTACAGAGCTCAATGCCCAGTGTTGTCTGCAATTTCTGGACACTAGATCTATAACGAGAAGATCTGAACAAGACTAACCAAATTCCATAGTGAAGAATGAGGATCGTTATTTGGCATTTTCAGCGTAGTGACTCAGGACTGCTACAGCTTCACTTGTGAGCTATATGTTGCCCTGAAACCCAAATTTCATGGTGTGCAGTTTCCCAGATTTCATGCGATGAGGCTGTATGCCAGAAGATCAGCTTTTTGTGTCTCACTCAGTGCAGTGCACAAGAGAGTGTGTTTAGTATGGTGCAGACAATATATGTCTTGCACCAGATTGCAGTAGAGCACCGTGCTTTTACAGATGAGTCAAGATTCAGCATGAACACTGTTTCTCTGTGTCTCTGTACCTGGAGAGAGCCTGGAACATGATACCATCCCTCCATCTTCAGAGAAAAGGATCATCATAGTGGTGAAGGTAGAATGGTTTGGACAGGCAGTATATTGGATGGCTGCACCCCACCTGTGTATGTTTGGCGAAGGCTCCTGACTTCTATGAGGTACAGAAAGGAGATATAGCCTTATATTTGAATTTTTAGGGACACAGTTGCTCTTGGTTTTCTGTTAATGGATGGCTACGCTGTTCCACATAGGGCTCAGCTGGTCAATGATTACCTAGAAAATAAGGATATTTGCCTCATAAATTGGCCAGCCAGATTTCCTGACCATAACTCTTTACAGCATGTTTGGATACTTCTGGGAGGCAATTTTAACTCATCCCTCCCTCAGAACCATCCCAGAGTTGAAAACTGCATTCCTGCAAGGATGGGTTCAGTTGCCACAGGGTCTCCTCACCTGCCTCCTCTCCATTATGCAGTCATGCTTTGTGACCTGTTTGGATGTCAGAGGGAACCATATCCCATATTAGACTCATTTTCAGTTTGATATCAAAACATGGATTTTGGTTAACCCTGCACTATGAGCTTTGCTGATAATTATACATACATAAAATGACTTTTGGTACATTTCTTTCTCTGTTGTAAGCACACCAAATTTCATTAAAATCTGTCCATTAGTTTTTCAGAAATTTGACATTATGTACAAATATTCCTAATTTTGATTCCACGATTCTCTTTTATTTTTTATCTACTAGCATTATCATATTTTGTCAGAAATTATTTCTTCCTGAAATTAATATATATTTGAGAACTAAATTTTGACTGGAATTTGAAGATTTGGTTAAAGATTATCTGCTAAGAAATTTCCCCTTGTAGTAAATTAGATTATTAAGTTATTTCTTACATTCATAGTATGCAATTATTTCCTTTATAAAAATAAATTATTACTTTAGATTTCATATAGGTTTTAAGCCATAAATTATTACTTTAGGCTGTGTTTAGATAAGAACAGCAATTTGAATTTAATCTGTGGGCACTTCTATAAATAGATTTTTCAAAGCCTCTTTTTAGGTTTATGAAATAAAGGTAAAATCTTTAAACATAAATCTTATCTTAATTTTATAGTGTCTTTAAAATATTGTTTTGAGCAGATAACTACAGTTTTTAAATTATTTTACCCCCTATTATCCATTGGTGTTTATCAGTCTCTTACGATTTTGCTGCTTAGTGACATAACTAAAAAGAGCAGATTTTAATCCTTATCAATTCTTTTAAATTTTTTCTGCCAAAGGAGCTAAACATTTTTTTATTTTTTATTTTGGTTTTTTAGTTTAAAATCATGTTAGTTACAGGAACTTAATTTTTTTTTAACAAGTCTGAATATATAATACTTGTTTTTACTTTCATTGCAGCATTACTCTCTTGTCATGGTTAAATACTGAGCATGATTTTTTCATTTATTTTTTATGGTGATGTAATATATGGTTTCTGATAACAAACTGGATTATAATACTTGATGTGTTATTATTTAAAATGAAAGCAATGAATGTGAAAATTATTACGGTATTCTAAAATTAATTTTTTTTTTTTTTTAGTTATAATATGTGGAAAGCTGCTGTTCATTGTCTTTCTGTACTTGATGTTCTTATCAGCTTGTTAACATACTACAAAACAAGTGCAGTAACTATGTGCAGACCTAAATTTTCACTTCCTAGTGAAGATACAAAGGTACTTATGTGATATATGTAGTAAATAATTAAAGTTTTGTATTTGGCATTAGCCCTTTGATTGGCACTGCTTTTTGATCTGCTCTTGAAGATCTGTATTTAATCAACTTCTATTTACTAAATTTTTATAATTACATATTTTAGTCTCCATTTTCATAAACATTCATTAAAATTATATTTACATTATTAATGAAAGAAGTAAGAAAATATACCAAGTGATATAAATTCCCATGGCTGGATTATGGCAGTCATTCCACTCAGGATTAAAATGTTTTCATTTATACTGACAGAGAGGTAAATCTTAGCATACATTTTTTATCATGATATTTATATCTGTATGTTATGTGCTTCTAATTTCTCATGTATCCTTCAAAATATTTTTTAAAAAAAATGATACAGAAGTCCATTTGCATGGTATTATCATGTATATGGATCTTTTATTCAGATTTTTCATTTAATAGTTAACTATATTTACTTATAAATATCCTGTAATAGTTTTATCTTTTATCATTAATATTTAATAAATACCTGCTTTAGCTTTTGTCATTAATATTTAATTCATTCATGAAAAAGAAGAGTTATAATTTTATTTATTTTATTATTTAACATTAAGTAGTGCAAAAACAGCACCCTCAAAACATCACTAGAAATTTGTTAAAATTTTTTTGCATTTGCTGCTTGTTGATGACTGTATCATTAGGTAACTTTTTTAAAATTAACTTTTGGCAAATGTATGTTATTTTAATGTTCTGGTTCACAATCTTCAGATATTTTTATAATAATGTGAAGTTCGTGTACTGACTTTAAACGAATAAAAAGACTGTACTTCAAAATGTTCTGTGAGTGATGGGATGATCAGATGATCTGTAGAATGAGAGATGCAAAGTTAATTCTGTGTTGAGAAATTTTTTTTTTTTTCCTAAATAAATATCTTTGGCAAACAGAAGAAGGAAAACTTTTAACTTTTCTGTTATTGATTTAGTTTTAATTTCTTTCTCTGATCATTTAAAAGTCTGAAAACTGTTTTTTAATTACTTAAATATACAAAAGCTGCAAGGAAGTGAAGTATTAATAATAACTGAAAAATCAATTTTTAAAGTGATCAAAGAACTGAATTTAAGTACTTAAGTTTTTGAGTAAATTAAGTAAATGAATTGGTATAATTTACTTAAAATGCATTTATAGAACTGTAAAAGCTCATGTTGAGATTAAAAGTGATGAAATTTTTAAAAATGACTCCTCCCCCCCAAAAAAAACTATGAAATTCTACTCCCTGCTTCCTAAAATTACATAATGATTTATCCTTGTATAGCACCTCAAAAGATGGCTGGCATGAAAACTGAGTAGCTGAAGAGAATGCTGTTGAACATTTGACAAGCAATTAAACCATTTGACAATAAAATGAAACATTATTTCAAATAAGTAATGCCTCTGTTTGTTATGCAAAATTGCATGCTAAAGAAATTCATTGTTTGTTAGTACTGTATTTTAACTGCAGAGAAAGAGAGTTTTGTCAGATATAGTCTGATTCACAGAATATGTGACAATTTAATGGAAGAGAAACATGCTGATATAAAATTTGAAATTAAGCAAGAAAGAAAACTTAAATTGACATAGATTTTTCAAAATCTTTCCAATGTAGGTTTTTTTTTCCTTTGCCTAATTTTAAATTTAAGAGTTTCTTTCATTTGCTTATCATTTTATGGTTTTTATTTATATTTATGTATTTATTTAATTTTTTTATGTGCACTGGTTTTAGGTATTTCAAGTTTTTGTAGAAAAACTTTCTGTTCTAAATTTTTATTCTTAATCATATTTTTTTCAGCCATTTTTAGAAATCATTGAAGGAAGACATCCAACATTATTGAAATATTTTACGAATGATGCATACATTCCTAATAGTGTTTATATTGGACCTAAAAGGGTAAGCCTTTCTGTTTGCATCTTAAATTAAAATTAAGATTATTCTGTTAAATTTTAAAGAATATACAAGGTGTGCCCATAATAAAGTAACTAGCCAAATTAAAAGACCAAACAATAAAATAAAAAAGTAAAATTGTTAATGCTTGTAATGTCAGCTATTAATAAAGCCAATTTAAACTGGTTATTTTGTTATCTGCATATCAAAATGCCAGAATCATCTTCATTTACTGACAAGACATAGCACAAAAACATTTTCTTTGAGAATGAATAATATTATAACATTAAATTTTGTTACAAATTAAGTAAATCTGCTACCAAAATGTTAGAGATGTCTCAAACAGTATATGGCGATGCATCGTTGTCAAACACACAAGTGTATGAATGGTACAATGACTTTAAATGTGGGCACGGAAGCACTGAAGATGAATCAAAAATAGGGTGCCTTATGACTTCAAATATTACATGTATTTTGCAAATGGCTATTTTCAATTCCTATAAACAGTGTTTTTGATGACCTGAATAAAAGCTGGAAAAATTGTATGAGCTCTTCTGGTGATAATTTTGAAGTCAATGAATTTATTTGAAGGTTGGTAATCTTTTTCTTATTTATAAAAAAAAAAAAAAACTGTCTGGTTAGTTTAAGGTGCATATTGCAAATTTGAATAATTCAAGCCTTGATTGTTATATAAAAATTATTAACCCCTTGACTAATCTGGGCGTATATATATATGCCCTTCTGAAATACTATCATTTGCTTTGTGCTGCTACCAGTAAAATTATTTGCAAAGCTTTGGAGTGTAACATCACAGTGACCTTGACATAGTTTGTGGAGATGGATACTATTTTAGAAGGTATAACACTGAAACCTGATATTACACTTTACTAGTCTAAAAATAAATTGATCGAAACTCCATATTTTGGGATCTTTTCTATTATACAAATATTTTTATTATACTTACATCTTTTTTATTACACTCTTACTCTAAACATTAAATTTTGTATTTTTATTTTTTCGTTTATTCTTTATTTTATGAAAGTAAACAGCTTTTAGACAGCAAAGCTTGCACTTATGTGCCCCCAATGCATCACATAACCATGCATGCCTGTGTAAAAAACGATGGCACTGGGGAGTAAATCTTGTACGTTTTTCGCAGCAGTTAAGGGCTTAAGGAATAATATATAATACTATTTCAGAAATAAAAAAGTTTATATAGACATTTATGAAAATATTGCGTAAAATACTTTTTTTAAAATTGTAACTCAAACAAAATCTTTTTCAAAAAATTCTCTCTTAAAAATAAACATCTCCTATTAATTTTTAAAGAAAAAATCCTTAAGGAACTTGGAAGCATTATAAAATTTTAATGTAAAAAAATTCAACAACAGTTGAGTAGTAAGCTTTGAAAAATGATAGGATGGTGTTTTTGAACTCATTCGTTGAATGAAAACAACAGTACTGTTCATGAGAGATGAGCGTTTGGCAGACTGTCATAGTAAGTAGCATAATATGAGAATATGATGAAAATATTTTCAGAAAGTATGCTTGATATTGCTGCATGAATATTTAAATGTTGTGAAACTCAAAGATGTGATATGGAAGATGTTTGATGAAGATGCCCTAGGAGAAAATATGTGATATAATTAGTTCAATAAATTCAAATCTAGTATTTAAAAATTGTTAGCATTGAATATAAATTAATGTGAATACTGAAGTTATGAAGCATGTTCTAGTAAGTAAATTACAGTAAACTCTCGCTGAGAATGGATTTGCAGAGTATGATTTTGCATGCACACATTACCTTACATGTTATCTCCATTTAATTTGTCCAACGCTAGAATTTTATTCATATGTAATGTACTGCAGTGCATTGGATGCATTAAAATCGCAACATAATTTTTAAAAGAGAACCCCACCCCAATTGCACGTGTTTGGCACTGCCTGTTTAATAAATAACCAAGACAGAGTTGTGATCATTTTTCTCACATTAGCAGAGTTATAATCACATATTAATCAGCCATTATCCTCTTCTCATTTTGCGTTTCTATTTTTTTAATTTACAAAATCCAGTGTGACATCTAAGAAGTAGAATGAAGATGATATAGCAGCAAAAAGATGCACTGACATTATCTCGGAAAATTGAAATTTTACATAAGTTAAAAAATGCTACACATATTTCTTCACTTTCAGGGAAGCTAATGGTAAAGACATCAAACAGAACAAAATATGGGAAAGTGAGGAAAAGATTTAGTCTAGTATCAAAGTTTTAGCCAATACTTTGAAAAGGTTACTCAAGTTTCAAGAAATTTTTTTCAACATGAAAAATTGGAATAAAATAGTTGGATTGACAAAGCAAATAGCAATGAATGATTTTTAGATATTGGAGAAGGAGAAATCAAAGAATTAAACGAGAATAAATTGTTAAAAAAAGACACAGGACCTATAGAATTTTGCAGAGAAGATTGACCAAATGAAGAAAGAAAATATTTTATAACAAGCATAAAAAAAGTTTGCACTCCGTACCATGAAACTTGTGTTGCGTCAAGTATTGTTCCAAGCAAAAATACCAGCTTGGAAAAAGAAAAAAAATAATTGTATTACATGCCTACCTATTAGAAAGTAATAAAAATCTTTTCGATTAACATTTCTTTCATGTTTAGCTTGTTTAAATTACACATGCTGTCATTGTTGTGGCTCATCTGCATTGTTTGACATAATCAGAACAAGGCCACAAATTTTGTTGTGGTAAGAAGTGCGATTGCTTCTGGCACTGGCATGAACTTCAAGCACCATATAGGTGAAGTTTGCCCAATTCTGCCGAAATTTCGAAGATGAGCACCTCGGGAGATGGGTTGGTGAGTCTTCCACTCTTCACCCTATATCACCAAACCACTCGAGAGAGCTTTCAGCTTGCTGACTTTTTTAGTACCTTCCTGCCACATAGGCACTATACATTCATGTGATGCCTTCTTCGGGGCTCTAACCCGGGCCCTTCAGTATGGCAATCAGCATCACTAACTACTGTACTATGTAGGCAGCTAAATTATACAATTTTTAATTTCACTCACATTTTTTCCATTGAAAGTTTTCATAATGTGGTTTTGCATGTCTGCAGTATACTAATGATGTAGCCCCTCGCATTTGATAAGGGTTCATTGTATGCAACTTTATGGTAAATTTCAGAAGAGCCTAATAATAATACAACTCTTCGACAATAAATAGATCTGTAAATTGGTGAAATAAGAATTCCATGACTTAGTAGAACAAATCTGACTACATTGTTATTCTATTATTGTTACTTTGCATACAGAGGAATATGGGTATATAGCATTGCAGTCAGTATTTTTGCAGAACATAAAAACTTTTTGCTTGCTTCATGACTTGCTTGACAGAGACTAGTAGCTAAAAAGCTAAGATCTGGCATAGGATTTAAAAAAAAAAAAAAAAAGTTATGAGCAAATACTAGCCCAAGGAAGAAAAGGATAATGCTGAGTTTGTAAAATTGTTTCATTTGTGAACAGTTATTAGTAATATAATATAATCATTAATGTTATATTCATCAAATGTTTCTGCAAAACTCTTCCTCTATCTGCTTTTGAATTATGGAATAGGAATATTTCTCTTTGTAAAGCACAAAAACATACCCTTGAATCCACAGCTTGTTTACATGTGACATTTTAAAAGAAGAATAAATTAAAAATAGATGCTATTTTTCATTTCAGATAATAAGCTGTAACCAGAAGATTTTATTCCAAAACATTTTTTTTTTTTTTTTTTAATTCTTCATCAAAATTGTTCTAAAAATATGTAATCACCCTCTGTAGTAATCACCCTCTTTTCCCCTTTCATTTATGTTCCACATTCAAGAGGATTCATTTTTTAAACCAAATTTTAATGTTTGAAATTAACAAAAAGATCCAACATGCTGATAAAAATATGAAATTCATTTTTGTTGTATTGGTACACATTGTACTTGCATACAATACAATATCATGAAATATTGAAACATTTCTGGCTGATATATTAGTTTGTTTCTAAAAGTTGTAATTTGGGATTAAGAAGGTACAGGGTGACAATTATTGAACTATATGAAATAAAACATAAATTATTTATAAACTACTGAGTAATGAACAAATTTCAAATTCACAGAGTGCACAAACTTTAATCAACATGTAAACATGGCTACAGATATTCAGATTTAGGTTTTGACATGTTTGATATGCCTGTCATCTTTGGCTATGATGTAGTGCAGATGAATAGTAAAATTCTGACAAATGACCCGCTGAAGTGTCGCAACATCGATGCTGTCGGATGACCTCCTGAATGGCAGTTTTCTGTTCAGCAATAGATTTTGGGTTATTTCTATACATATTGCCTTTAATATAGCCTCACAAAAATTAGTCACACATGTTCAGATCCGGAGATTATGGCGGCCAAACGAGTCCCATTCCAGTGGCTTCTGGGTACCCCAAAGCCAGAGTGCAGTCCCCAAAGTGCTCTTCCAGGACATCAAACACGCTCTTGGTCCGAACTCTGTCTTGCATGAACCACATCTTGTCGAAATCAGGGGCACTTTGAATAATGGGTATGAAATCATTTTCCAAAACCTTCACTTACCGGTCAGTCATCACCATGCCATCAACGAATATTGCACCAATTATTCTGTGACTAAACATTGCACATCCCACAGTCACCCTTTGCAGCTGGACAGACTTTTCGATTGTGAAAATTGAATTCTTAGTCCCCCAAATGCGCCAGTTTTGCTTATTGATGAACCCATCCAAATGAAAGTGGGCTTTGTTGCTAAACCAAACCATAATTCACATCAAATTCCTGTTCGTCAATTCTCTCGATGATAGTGTTGGCGAAACACAACCGCTGTTCCATGGCTATGGACCTTAATGGCTGATGGGTTTGAATTTTGTATGGGAAGAGATGCATGTCTTCAACAACAATTTGTCGCAGCATCTCCCGGTTGTTTCCTACCTGGTGTGCAGATTGTCTGATTGATTTCCTTGGGCTGGTTTGAAACATAGTGCATATCTTCTCGATGTTTTCAGGTTTTTTCACACTTGTTTGTCGACTGACATTTCCAACACTGTGGTTACAAACACTACCGTTTCTTCAAACTTGCGAATCAAATTCTTGATTGTTAGCACACTTGGACCGGCTGTCTTCAGCTTATACTCGGTCGCAAACTTCCTTTGAGCGGCAATCGGGCTGTTATTGCTCGCATAATAAGTCTTCGCAAGCACTATATGCTCAGGCATGCTGTACCGCGACATTTTCACTTGAAAATAGCCGACAATAACAAGTTGGTGCGCATGCATATACTAGTTCCCATCATGCCCAGCGTCCAACCATGAAGTTTGAACTTCATCACGCAATATGTTCATAAGTTATGATGTTTTTTTTTTTCATATAGTTCAATCATTGTCACCCTGTAGGAGCATGGGTCCCTCCCCAAAGTGATCTGTTTCTAAAGTTAGATTATCTACTTTTTCAGCTTTATTTTATTAATTATATATTTGCAGTATTTTAAAAATTATGACTTATTAAACTTTTTAATGTCCTCATGCAAATTCATTTAAAACAAAATAGGAACCTGAAAAAGAAAATATTAACAGTGGAGGACAATTAGTATTGGTCACTGGCTCAAACATGGGTGGCAAATCCACTTTAATGAGGCAAGCTGGAACTCTTGTGATAATGGCTCAAATGGTAAGTTCCATCTAATTACAGTAAATGTCCCTTAATGTGATCGTGGTAATGTTATCATTTTCATCAAATTGCTGAAGTTCTACCTGACTGTATATTGAACTGTGGAAATAGTTGCTTATTCTGATCAACAATTTGGTTAATATAATAAAAATATTATGGAATAGAGTTTTTAAACTAAAGTTACCAAAATGTTCAAAATGGATTTTAAAAATTGCCATGTGACAGAGAAATTAGTGAATCATTTAAAATTAGAGGGGAGGAATGAATTTTGATGTTGATTTTTAATAACTCTCCTGATTTTGAGGGCAATCAGATACAGGTCTGTTTTCTTCAGGAGCAAAACAACATTTCTGTAGAATTTGTATTTATTTATTTTTAAAGCATCTACACCAAGCTAAGGGTTCCCTTCTTTTTTTTTTTTTTTTTTTTTTTTGCCTAATTTAAAATTTTACAGTGGTAAATTTTTAAATTGCCACTGTAAAATTTTACAGTGATATCTCTTTCAATGAGAGATGCTATTCAAGTATTAAGATTACGCATACAGCATCTGCCAGGTTATTTACTTTTAACTGAAATGTTATGAATGGGTAGTAAACAAACTTTTGTATTTTCCTGGTTAAAATGCTGAAAGTTATATAACTTTCAGCATTTTAACCAGGATTATGCTTATATGTTTCTAGTTATTAGTCTAAAGGGGCAATTTTCCCTGAAGGACTATTAATTCCGTTTTGGCATTTTGCATTGAAAACTTTAAAAGGCTGTATCACTTTTCAAATCATTGCCACCATATATTATCACCCTGTCTTATATTTAAAGACATTAAATGATAAAGAATTTGCATAAATGTATGTATGTTTCTCGCATTGCGATAAAAAAACGGTACGTAAAACCATGAAAATTTGAATAATGTAATCTTCCATAGAATATGGGCATGTGGAAGCCCTAATTTGAATTTGAAATTTGTTTATTGTCAATTTTAGATCTTGTAACACTTCAACGAATTTGTGATAAAAAAAACTAAATTATTTCATAGCATGCAATGGCAAAACTGGGGGGAAAAAATATATATATATATATATATATATATCTTCGACATGTGAGACTCTGTATTGGAAATTCTAAAAATATGCTCATTTAAAAATTAGTTTGTGATATTGCTGTTGAATTGAATTTTATAGTTTGAGTATGTAGAATATGATTTTAATAAATAAAGGTAACATACAAAACGTTAAAAAAAAAGGACCCTTTGGACGTAATTTAAAATTGAAACCTTTCAGAATTTTTATATATATATATATTTACGTTAAATTGCCTTAATTTCCATTGCTGTTTAGGATAGATTTCTCATTGTTTAATGCTGTCGTTCGGTTGATGTTATCAAAATAGCCGTGGACAAACTTGATCACATTACGTAGCACCTGATGTATAAAATTTTTTGAAAGCATTTCTAAATTTTTGTTGATTTATTTTGCACACATTAACATTCAAAATGTAAAGCAGTGTAGAAAAAATGTGACCAACGGTGTTCTGCCCACTTCTACCTGGTCCTGTGGGCAAAGTGTAATAGCATACATAATGAAATTATTTTAAAGCATTTTATGAAATGCATAGCTGCCAATTCTTCTGTTTTTTCATCACATCTACTGATCTCCTGGTAGGGATCACATCTTCTGATCTCCTGATCATCGAATCTCCTGGTATTTAATTTTTAGCCTTTATTAAGGAAAGTGTTTTCCAGTATTAAAGGAAATTTGTTGAATGAATGAAACTTAAATTGTGCAAATTCTATCTTTCACCCCTAGTGATATTCAGAATAATTTGTCATCTTCTTGTTAAATTTTATTTAATTTGAAATATGTTTTATTTTTATTACATTTTATTGACCTTTACCTATTACATTTTATTTTATCTGAGTTAACTGGCATACTGCAGGTAGGTATAGATTTTTGTATGAGGAATTAATCGATGTTTAATCAATTAATATTTGTATTATTTTACTCCATTATATTGTACATTATGTATTTTATCAAGATAAATGTTATATACACCAATTATTAAAGAAATTTTCATCGTAAAAGTACTTCGATAAATAAAAGCTTTTTCTTTTTTATTCGAGATTTTCTCACCATAAAAGTTTAAGAAAACGTTAACGTAAAATTAGCCAAAAAGCATAAAATTTAAAATATCTAATAAAATACTGATGTATTTTACATTGGAACTGTATTACAACTTGTTCAGTAACCTGAATCTTGAAATGGCATTACAGTGCAACATGAAAACCCAGTTTTTCAGATTTCAAAGTTGGGAACTATTGAAAGATGATGTGTCAGAAGTGCAGTATTTAATTATCATTGCATTACTGGTTTCTTAGAGCTGAAAAATTTCATGTATGACTGTGAAATAAATGAAAATTAAAGATGTAGGTTTCACAGCACTTATGAAGTAAAATGACCTCTGTTTGTCATATGTGCCTAACTAAACTCTTTAATGCTGTGGATAAATTGATAGTCTGTAGCAAAAATTCTTAGTCTTAAAAAAAAAAAAAAAAAAAAAAAATGTTAGTGAACTGATAATGAGAATTGGTGATGAGCAGTTTATTGTCTAAGTTCATGCAGAATGTGTTAAGTAGGTGTAAATTAAATGAGTTTGTATTGAAAGCAATCTTCAGATAATAAGCACTGAAGATCACTGGCTGATATCAAATGTCACTTATCAGTAAATTACTGAATTTATTAATCTGCTTGGACGAGTGGAGAACTCTAGTCAAAAATGAATAAGAGGAGGAACTCTTGTCAAAAATGGATATGGCTATGCTTTCTTATTAAAATTCTGCAAGCCGAGACTAAATATCCATAACCCTATTTGTATAATGTATTAATTTGAAATTGACTAAAAATGAGTCTTCTGTTTCTTCTTTTGTATTATCTGACACCCAGTTAATTTAAAAAATTTAAGTTAAAAAATTTATCAAAATGTTAAATGTTATTTTAATAACTTTTTTTTTCAAAAAAAAAAAAAAAAAAAAAAAAAAAAAAAAAAAAAAAAAGCTTTCTTTCTTGTCTCTATTACTTTTGCATTTGTATCCACTTCTCAAATATTGCCACCAAATGTTATCTCCATGAAAAGAAATATATGGCAACATAAACAAAAGGAAGTTATCACTTTTCAAAGAGATAATGTAGCAAATATTAAAAAAATGCATAACAGGTATATTGCCAGGTATTATATTTAAAGAAATAATATAGTTTATATAAAAAGTTGCATAGTAACATCTAGCACTTTATCAGGAATTTTAAAGATATCCAAGAAAAATATTTTGAACTTCCATGCACCACTTTGTTGCCATTTGGTGAAGCATAACATGTTTAATTTCTCTTTTAAATTTAATTTGCCTGTTACTGATTAATAAACTAAGCAACTTAAGTGATAAATACAGTTCTCTACTCTTTTATTAATTATTAGTGGATCCGTAGCTTGATTTATTAAAAGCATTACATATTTTTTCTTTTTTATAGTAAGTATTTTAGGCAGCTCGCTGCTCCAACGACTAGTTATTTGAAAAGTGAAACAGACAGCAAAAGCTATTTGATGCAAAAGTTAGATTCGAAAATAATAGCCCTTCAAGGTTAAAAAATGCATGAACACTATGTTGGGAATTCTAAAGGTATGCTATTTTTAAGAAAGTTATGATTTTGCTGTTGAAATTTATGTGGCATAATTGTAAAGAAAGTGAAGTCAAAAAAAGATGTGTGAGCAGGATTGAGTTCCAAGAGCAGGTAGATAATCTGTCAGCTGAACATGAGCATAAAAATCCTTAACAAACCCTCTGATGAGATATTAAAATCGGAACACTTTCAATTTTTTTTTTTTTTTTTTTCCCTAATGTTAGAAGTACTTTTGCACTTAATTATACATCATTGGCCCCCTTGCATCAAAGATGCATGTGATTGGAGTATGAAAAAAAACAAGAGTAGAATTACAAAAAGTAATTAACCTCATTACAATAACGACATCAAAACTGGAAAATGGAGGAAAAAAAAAAAAAAAAATAGTCAGATGTGACAGAGAAAAACTGCATCAATCCTCTAGCCCACCAATATCAATTGTATAGGTTTTTTTTCCCATCAACGAGGAAAATTTGAGCAAACGATCTCTGCCGATCTCAAATTTATGATTGTACAAAGTGCACAAGAGAATTTCATATATATGAGTGCGGTGCAGGTGTTTAGAGAGATAATCATGTCCGGTCTCCAAACAGAACACTGGATCTGGGAGAGTCCAGGATATTACAAATTGAATCCTTTCACTTATTCCTAATTTCTTCAATTAATTTAATATAAAAATTTTCCCTCATAGCATTTTTTACTATTTTTTTTTATTGATTTAAGTGGTATCCCATTGTTATTTGATTGTAAAATTTCAGTTCCCTTTTTAACAAGTTTATCAGCCCATTCATTGCCAGCTATTCCAGTATGAGGCAGGATCCACTGTAAGACAACAGTCATCCCTTTTGAGGCTAGAAGAAAAAGAGTTATTCTGCAAGATTCAGTAATTATTTATTCCACGACATATGTGCAGAAATCACTTGAATGGCTGAAAGGGGGGGTCTGAAAAAATATTTATGCTTTTTAATAGGATTGTTGTAACAATATTTGTTTTGTTGCAACTCTTATTTGCCTCTAGTTCTCCATCAAAGTTGGTCCAAAATGAACCAAGTGAAGAATAGAATGCAAAAAGCTCTGAATATACACTAGCTTCAACTTTGTCGAGCATTTTTGATCCATCAGTATATATGTGAAGCCAATTATTCTTTGGATACATGGAGTAAATTGTCTCCATGGCAGCTGCTTTTTATTCACCATCCATTATTGATGACTTTTTTTTTTTTTTGGCATACATCAAAAACATTTAATTATAATAGATCCTTACAACATTTAATTCTAATAGATCCTAGGTAAATAGAACCTGTAGGTTTTAATAGTTCTTCTTTGGGAACAACCAGAAGGGTATAGTCTGACTTTATTTTTACAACTTTCTGCAAAAATCCATCCTGAGTTTTCAGTTTTCTAGGTCTAAAGGTAATATGATCTCCTGGATGCTTCTGTCATTATTCTTCAAGCCCATTTCTGTTGGTTGGTGGTACAGAGTAAAAGTCTGATACACAATCTTGTCAATATTTACTTCCATTTGATTTTTTGTAGACCATTCATGTGTTTCCAGAGCCTATTTGGCACTAGACACCATTTTATTTGTAACATTTTCTAGGTGAAGTCTATAGTGTCAAGTCACCAGCATACAGAGTATCATTTCATACAGAGTTTCAGTATCATTTATTTTATGAATTATGCCAGGAAGATCGTTAATGTATACATTATATATTTTTCAACTAAATTTTACTTGTGGACATTTTAAAAGCAACAGATACTGTTCTTTATTACTTAAATCTTTATTTTTTTTAATGCTATGACTACTTAATATGAAGTAAAGTTTATTTAATTTACAATTCCAGTGGCCAAGTAGTTAAGACCGCAGAATTCTCTTATTTTGAATGCCAGTGAATGAATTAGCTGCATGGATATATTTTAGTTTTCTCCACCTGATGTGAATATGCACCATTTCTCTTAGAAAGTCTTCCCCTGAGGCAGATAACCCTAATCTACTTTGTTGTATTCAAACAAACAAACTTCGCAACAAACAAACAAAAACATTTATGTGACAACCTAGGTCTGCGCTTAGTTCACATGTGTTTTGGCTGGTGTTCAAAACAGGAATTGAATAAAAAGCTTGTGCAATTCTCTATTTTTTTTTAAAACAAAAGCAGATTGCTATGTATATGGTAAGAACAACAATACTAAAACAAAGGATTTCTTGAAAAAGGTAAGTGTTTATTACTGAAGTTTTTTGCCGTTTGAATTTTATTGTTTGATTGTGTTTCTATAGAATTCATAGGCAGGGCATCATTTTGAAAATTATGGCTGTCTTTCAAATGATTGTTAGCTTTTTGAAAAATTAACAACCAATGAACTTGTGAATGCTGTCAAAAGAAGTCATTGAGTTTATGACCTTTTGGTGTGGGGTGAGGTTGCGCAGATCAGCCAAGCCATGTAATTAAGCACCAATCCATGTAATATGAATTTCCAGACTGTTCTTTTAAAATTAATTTTTGGACGTCAAATTATAATTCGTAAGCTTATGCTGATATTCATTTTATCTTCTTCCATTAATGCAAATAATACATTTCATTTCTGAGAAAGGGTATCATTAAGATTAATCAATATTTGATTGTCATTGGTCATATAATGTTATTCGTTTTCAGATAGTTATTAAATGGTTTAAAAGTTAAAATGTTTGAAGTAATTGCAATTAATACTTTTATAGGGTTCCTACGTTCCTGCTGAATCTATGTCTTTAACTCCAGTTGATCGAATATTTACTAGAATTGGTGCTAGTGATAATATGAGTAAAGGTGAGTAAATGTGCTTTTTTTTTTTTTTTTTAAGTGACAGATTTGAATGTTTAGAAACATAAGAAATGCTCTTGCTCTAAAAATTACTTTATGGTACTCTTACAGATTCCATTGTAAGTCATAGTATGTATTTATACATTAAATGTGTAGCTGATAGGACACATTTAATGGATTATTTGCATTATTAATAATTATTTTTGAATTGAAAATTGTAGAAATTTTGTATATTTCATTATGAATGTTAAATAATTTTTTTTCACAGTTTTCATCAATAAAACTTTTTAGGGTCAATGTTTTTCTTATTAAACAAATATTTAATAAGAAAAACAATTATTTTGGTATACGACATTGCATAGTAACTTGATTATGCCCTTTCTTTAAAAAATATAAACTATTTTTTAGGAGAAAGTACATTTTTTGTAGAGGCAAGTGAGACTTCAAGCATCCTACACCATGCCACACTCAATTCCTTTGTTTTAGTTGATGAACTAGGTGAGTTTATTTATAAAATACATTATACACCATTATTTATCTGCATTTTTATATACTTTGATAATACATATTTCAGTTATCCACCATCTTAATCTACTATTGCAGTGGGCTCATGCATTTTAGTTATGCATTTGATGCAAATACAGTGCTTGCAATTTTAAAGATATTAAGCTATAAGTTTATGTGCAAGACTGCTATTGAAGTAAAAAAGATAGAATGAATAGGTTAGGGCTATGTTATCGTATGCTTGTGTTTTATTGGCCATGTACTTGTGAGTTGGGTAATGTGGGTGAATTTTCCACATTGTTTTAGTCAGTATACTTAGTTTGTCATTTGACAATGTTTTGGTAAATATTCAGTAAGTAAAATTTAAAATTTGTTTTATTTTTTAATTTATAAATTTTTGTTTTGTTAAAAATGTTTTAAATTGTATTAAAAAAGTTTTGGACTATCAGCTGCTTTTAAATCAAGCATTCGGCCTGCAAGCAGTTTGAATTTAAGATCACTGCACTATACTAAACTGCTGTATTTTCCCAGAAAGAAATTTAGACAGGAAATTTTGCACTGAGAGTTTTATTTTGCTGTATATGTTTTTCTGTCTTGTTTTTCTGTTGCTGTATTGCTGTATATGTGCAATTCAAGGTTGTGCAGCATGTATGTCAACTTTTACAGTTTTTATGGTGAAGAATTGTAACTCTGGGGTCAACTTCAGATCTGTCAAATCTCTCTCTCACTCTCCCCCTTTTGTGTGTGTGTATGTTTTGTTGTTTTTGTTGAGGTAGAGGAAAGGATGTTAGAGCATTTATTAAGCTGTGCTTTCTTACAATGTGTGCCTCTAGGTCTGGCAATTAATCATTATTTTACTGGCAGCCCTCTGACGGGCATTGCTTTTGTGATCTGCTCATGAAGAAATGTGTTTTAATGCTATTGCATTTAATTGGATAAATTTGTTATAATTACTTATTTTAGTTCCTATTTTCACAAACTTCCATTTATTAAAAGAAAATAAAAAAAGCAAAAATGTCTCATTATCAGATAAAGGTGGTTATAATGCTCAGGCAGTTAAAATGGTCTTAGGTTGACACTATTTGAATTGGTAATATTTGGATTTCTTCGGGATTTTTCTTTTTTTCCAAATATATTAACATTAATATAATGTCATTAAGTTTCTGATAATGTTATATGTACAATTACATGAAAATAAAGCACATATCTTACCATATTCTTGTTTTATGATATCTGACTTCCATATTTAGTGTTTAATTTGGAAACTTTTTTGACAAAATTTCATTAATCCAAAGAAATCTGATCAGAATTGGTGATTCCAATATTTATCAAACATTGTTTACATGTAATTATAAAATTTGTTTAAATATTGATAATAAACAATATTGCCAATATTTTGATCAGTTTACAAAGATGAGTTTCTTTGTGTTAAAGAATCACGCTAAGAATAATCCTGTATACCTCCTCTAGAAAGCTGCACTGTATATTTGTCTGCAGCCACATAGACAAAATGCATGTTTGGTGAGCTCCACATTTGTGTAAGGTTATATGCTGCTTGAAATCCACATAAAGAGTGATATTTTATGCCAGCAGACTGCTTTTATCTGCCATTTAAATAATGCCCTGAACCACCTGAATGTGCCTTTTCTGCATACCTATTCCATTACAAAATCTGCTTATTTTGCATTTATATTTTGTCCGATACTTTTGAAAAACTTGTATACATGCGTGAGCGTTATTTAGTTGCTGAAGAAATGTTATGGGTACTTGACATACAGATCAAATGCATGTAACATTTTCTGTAAATATGTGTAACATCTAAAGTTAAAGTCATAGTCTGAGCCACCTATTTGGTAAAATATCCAAAATGGTATTTACTTTACCATTCAAATAAAATGTATTATAGCTTTTAATAAACTTGTTTCTTAAAGCAGCAGCACAAAATCCAAGCAGTTATATTTGTAAGTAAGCTATATTTTTTATATAATATATACTGAATAGAATTTTAGATACTTAATAAGTGTAGCTGCCATGTGTTGAGATACATTCAAACACATATATACAACCTTCATTAATTTTATGTAGTTTACCATTTAATAATAAATGTATAATGTAATTTTTATCATGTTGAGCAAATATTCATGTTTTATTTATTTATTTATTTTTCAGGTAGAGGAACTGCTACTTATGATGGTACAGCCATTGCATGTGCTGTTTTAGATTACCTAGCTAACACTGTTGGTTGTAGAACTTTATTTTCTACTCATTACCATAATTTAGTTGAAAAGTTTTATTCTCATCCAACGGTTGGTCTTGGTCACATGGTATGTTATTTCTAATGGGGATTAATTTAATATTATATTAATAATTATGTATATAAGAAATTTTAATTAATACGAATAGTTTCTTGTTAAAATTATTGTTGTAGAAAATGATTTTGTTTCAATTTCTTAATATTGCATTCTTTCAATCAGAGGCAAAAATTAATTCTTATGTTGTGTAAAAATATATATTATTTTTCTGAGGATTATTTCATATTTCTGCTGTGAAACCCAGATGGTAGTTTGCTGAGTAAAGATGTGATAATTTTTTTCTCCTAAGTTTTTAGTCAAGAATTGTGATAATTTTCTGAAGTTGTTTTCAGTCAAAAATGATAATTATCTTATATGTCTGTTTCCAAACACACACTTTCACATTCTCAATTAAAATGTGTATATTATTCTTTGTGATTATGGCACTTTGTACAAATTATGTATTAATGTGAAAACTTACAGCCAGATAATTTTTTAATTACGTACAAATTCAAGCATTAGAGAACCATAGGTCTAAAATTCCAAATGTGTTGTTTTCCAATCTAAATATGCAAATTATGAAGACTGTATATTCCTACGTATACCGCTCACTTCTAATACAAAAAATAAAGTTGAAATTTTTGGGTGTGTGTTGATGCTGAATATAAAAATTATAGATTTAAAAATAGGGAAAAGTTAGATTTCTGCAAGTACCTAAAATGCTGCTTATCTGAAAGAAATGACATACCTTACAAACTTAAAAATTTTCATTATCAGGTTACATGAAAAGTTCATCCTATTTGTTGTCCGTAATATCTTCATGCATATCATCTCATTCTATATCATCTTCACCATTTCACTGTTCTGATCCATAAATAAATTATTATCTTCCATTCAGGCTAGAGTGTTAAATATTATATATTTTTAAAAAGCTTTTGAATTATGTCAGTTTCAATTTCATTCCATGCTTTTATTACCCACTCACACACTATTTCTAGACTGGCATGATGCATTTAGCGAAAGAGTGCATGTTTATACAGCATACATTTTTAAAAGGGTTTCAAATTATGTCAGTCTCTACACTGGCATGATGCATTTGGTGACAGAGTGCACGTTATACAGCAAATACCTAAAAATTACAAAATGGAGTGTGGAATCATAGGTGCACGTTTTACGCCGGAATATAGGTGCATATAAATTGCTGCTACTTATAAAATTATCAAGAAAATTGCTTATACTTATGGCAGTACAAAGTCTAAAACCTGGATATCTACTATCTAGACATCCAAGCACCAGCCCCCCCCCCAAATATCTCTTTCTCTTACCCACAGAATCTAGAAATGAAGAATATAAAAAAGCAAATGCTGTCACACCTAAGCCAATAATTGGAGTTGTATTGATGATGGCAAGATCACACTTTCAGGCTATTGAATGTTTCAGGGAAGGGTATAGGGCTTGCATTATATATTTGATGTCATGTATAACTCCTGTGGTTCCTAAACTCTGCTGCTTGTGGCTGCACCAGCTCTGGTGCTAGTCCTCTTGGAGAGTTCACATTCTCCTATCTGACATAAGAAATAAGTAAAGCTGCAGTATTCTCATGTCTGTTTGTCATCTTAACTAGATTTAAATGGATGATCTAAAACCCGTAAATTTCTGGAATCGCTGAAGTCTTGATAAACCCAGATCATTGACGTACTATATGTCTAAACAGTAATTTTTTGTCCCTACCACAAATAAATAAAAGAATCTTCTTTAACCATATTTGCAAACTTAATTTTATTTAATCCACATAACTAATCGAATAATTTAAACTTGAGTCTTTTATGATCAAAACATAATTTTGAGGATAGCACCTTTTTGACTAAATAGATATTCAAATGAATCAGCTCTGAGTACCATAATCAAATATACTCTAATTTTAGGCATTTAATGTTATTTATTATTTTTCAAATGAAATGTTAAATTTATATATATTGTAAATTTAGCTTTTAGTAACTAGAAAAGTGAGAATAGCGTTATGTTATTTTTTAATGGATGTAAATATAAAGTGGCTTTTACATTTTAACCGATTGTGGCATATGAAAAGTCTTTGTTGTTATTGAAAACTGCAGTACAATAAAGTAAAGAATGTGTGGCTGTCAAATCTCCCAGTTTTTAACCACATCTCCTGATCTAATAAATCACTGAATCTCCCAGATTTTAATTTTTAGCACTTTTAACTTAATGAAACTTAAGTTTTGCCAATTCCATTCTCTCAATCCTAGTGTTTTTTACGTTTTATTGATCTACATTACTACATTTTATTGATCTTTTTCTTTTAAATTTAATTTGATCTGATTTGCCTTAATCTGCTATAAATGTTTTTAGATTTTTATATGAAGACTAAAGAATGTTTAATTTGTTAATATTTGTGCTTTATTTTATTTTACTTACTATTTATTAATTTTATTTTCATCGTATTAAAAAGCAGAATTCGTAATTTAGGGAATATGAGAAGAAATGTAAACGATATAACTAAAGTTTTCCATTGTGATTATACTACCTCAGTCATTAGTCAGTGGATGGGAAAATCTCATTTTCCGAATCATCTGATTTTGAGTCACATTTTTTAATTTCATGAAGTGGTTATTCAAGATGAAGATAATATAGCTGAAGTCTTTATTAAGTTGACAGTGCCCCAGTCTTCAATCATGTAGTGTAAGGTGAAAGTACAGTATATTTTTAAATCCAGAAATATTGCTATCCTTTCTGATGATTGCCACCAGTGTAAAGATTTCAGTTGTTTATTTAATGGGAATTCTGGCCATAGCAATTATAGGACTTGAGCAGTAAAACTTTGTAACTGAACAAGAAATTATATCTCTTTCATATTTCAAATTTCATAATTTCTCATATGATCCCTTTAGATTTAAAGTTATGATATAAAGTATGGAAATGTATAAAAGATTTGCCAAAGCTCAGACAATTCCAGATTCTAGACTTTGTACTGCATTTAATAATATTTTATCAAGGTACTTTGTACTGTACTGATTGTGATAATATTTTAAATAGTTATAACTTTTTATACCTATATATCTTAAAATAATATACCTAAAAGTACTTTGCTTTCTTTTTCAGGCATACATGGTTGAAGAAGATAGTGAATGTCCAGCATTGGAACGTGTTACCTTTCTATATAAATTTATTGATGGTGTATGTCCAAAAAGTTATGGCTTCAATGTAGCTTTGCTGGCTGGTATTTCAAAAGATGTATGTATATCTTTAAAATAAACTTTTTTTAAAATTTCAGACAAGTTAAAATTGTATAAATCATATTTCTTCTGCATTTCAAGAATTATGTATGCATATTTAGTAAAAATATATATTAAAACATAAATAAACTAATTTTTTTAATATTAGTGAAATATTTTAATATGAAATTTGTTATTATAATAAAATTCTGACAAATGAATTTTCCAGAATATGTGATATGTTATAAGCTCTTGCAGAGTGAAATTATGGTAATCAATCTTAGAATTATTACTGTTTAATAGACCCCCATTGCTGCCAAGAGGAAATATCCATTATTGCATTATTTTGATAGACTGGTAGTTCTAGTAATGAACACACTATTGGCTTCTTTCTGATTTAACTGATTTAAATATAAGAGTGCTTCTGTTTGACCTGAATCTGAAGTTGATTTTAAGTTTCAAAACTAGTGAAAATTATTTGAATGCATGTTTGTATCTTTCATATGTGTAATATAACTGAGAATATTGTGTGACCGTGGTTTCTATTAACATAACATATTTAAATCTATAAGAATGCATTCACCTTCAGAGTAATTTTCCTGTACCATATTGTACAGGAATGCTGTACCATGTTGCATTATTAGAGCAACTTTTGAAATACTTTGCAAAACTGTTTGATGGAATAGAATAGAGAGTTCTTTGAAGTTGCTTGAATTCATTCTGCTGATGTATGCTGTCAGATTTTCAGTGTCCTAAAGAATGTTGTAGCATTGAGCCAATTCAGACTGAACTATAACAAACTTTTATGGGGAAATATCATTTAACTCTTGAACAATGAAAAAATTCACCTGAATGTTTCCTTTCACCATATCCTGATGTCAGTTTGATAACATATCATGACATCAGACATTATGATACCTATTATTATTATTATTATTATTATTATTATTATTATTTTTTTTTTTTTTTTTTTTTTTTGCGAATGGTGGGGTCTTGTTTTTTTCTTTTTTTCCAACATTGGCCACTCCCTAGACCAAAAGTGATGGCCATTTTATTGTGGAGGTACCTAATAGGCAGCCACCATTACCTATGAAGGGACAGACAGTTACAACTATGCCTTCTCCGGGATTTGAATCTGGGCCCTTCAGTATCTGAATCAGCTCCTCTAACCACTATACCATCTGCTGACATGATACCTATTATGATATACTGTGAATATATTTTATGTATATCAGTCCTTTGTATTAGGTTGCTATAAATAATGCTTGTAGTAATCAGGTCAATATTCAAGTTCAAAAGACAACAGTGTATTGTATAACACATAAAATAAAGTCACATTGAAAATGACATTCAAAATCACATTTATGATATGTGTTGTAGCTAATTCATGCAATATCCATAATTGCATCAATTAGTTGGCAGTTGATTTTTATAATTGAAGTATTGCATCTTCCATATATCTTTGGTATCCACTTTTCCTGTTTTATTTGTTATATGCATCATTTTTTAATCATTCCTTCCTTCCCCAAAATGTTGTGCCTCTTAAACACTGCTCTGCAGCTTTTAGTCATTGCCCTATCTACTTTTCAGAGCAATTCAGTTAATGCCATGAAGACTAAATTATGTGATGTTGACACTATTAGCTTTTTTTAATATAACATTTTATAAATTCTATTTAAAACAAATTATTTGATTTGATGTTACTTGCTTGCATATTAAGCAACAAATATGCATTTGAGTAGGATAAAAAAATTATTATGTTATGAAATTTAAAATGGTTATTCATTCCCTTCTGTATAGTTATTGCTTACCAACAGTGTCCTTCATGTAGTTGCTGTGTGAAAATTTTGAAGTTAACAAAAATATGTATTTCCTTTCTAACAGATTTTGATTTATCACCAGGCTGCTTGTAGGGCCAGCTGCATAAAATTGTAAAAAAGAAACGAATAGTAAATAACATTAAAAAAAGAAAAAAATATCTAATGGTTTTAATGAGTCCATCTAGTGTAATTTTATAAAATATTTAATGTTTTAATAAGGTATATTTTGAAGTAAATTCATTTTCATTTAAATCAACCAGATTAAAAAGTAAAAATATTAAGAAGTGTTTTTATTGCTTTTAAATTGTTTGGTTTGTTAATCAGTAACACATAGATTAAATTTGAAAGTTAAACATTTTATGCTTTGCCAAATGGTAATTAACACATTGGCACATCAAAAATAAAAATATTATTTCTGGCAGTGACAACACATGAATTTGCTGATTCAGTTTGAAAGTGATGCTTTCCTGAATGGAAACACATTGCTTTTAAATTGAATTTATTTATCAAATATTCATAAATTTGCATAAAATATGAATTAAAAAGTCAAAATTTGGCTTTGAGGTGCAGATGTTTAGGTGGAGGAATATGCATGTTTAAAATTTGGGGCTTTTAGATGGCATTGTTTTTTCATAAGAATATTTGTGTGAAGAATATACCTACAGACTCTTCATTATTTAATATAGGGATGCTTAAGAGAGTGGTCAAGTTCTGTTTGCATTAATTAACATAGCTTTTAATCATAATATGGGATGAATGTTCATAATGTGTTAAATACTATCTGGTATCTTTAAAAATCAGTTTCATAAATTTATTTAAGTTTGTTTGTGGCATATTATTATTAAGTTTGAATATCAAATTGTATTAAAATATAATATCCATATTAAGATTAGAAGTTTTACCGAAAAAATACATTCAATTTTAGATTGTACATTCTGGCCATTTAAAAGCTCAGGAAATGGAATACTGTTCAAAAATCTCCAAATGCTTAAGGTAATTATTACACTTATATATTGTAGTTAATGACTTTCCCTTCAATGATTGTCTTTTAATCTAGTTCTTTATATTAAGCATATCTTTTCATTTCAGGAAACTATTATATTTGAGTCACATTTGTTATGCTACTCATATTTTAATTTAAATGCCTTATGAATGTATAAGATACCTTGTTACGAGAACATTTTAATTTCATGTATAATTGTGCAATAACCATCATACAATATGTATTATAACTTTTATGATTTATGGCAGATTTGCCTAAATCAAGATTTTAATATAAAATTATTCTTCAAGATTTTAATATAAATTTTTGCATCGTTATAATATTTATTTTATGTGATGTATTAATGTTTTGAGGTATGTTATTTGAAGGATTTTGATTAGATAGATGTTGTATAGTTATTATCAGGTTTTAACAAAAGTTTTTTACCATCGCATATATCTTCTGTGCAAACAGTTCGTGTTGGCATGTTTAATCATATTTTGTCAAAATTTTTTGGCATTTGAAAGAAAGAGACTTGCTTTAGAATATTGTGTTGTGAAATTTGTAAAAATCGTTTATCATTAAGTACAAGGTGTCTGAAATGGAACTGTCATGCTACCAGAGTAGAATCATTATTTACTTCCAGTTCTGTTGCAAAAAGTCAGCTACAGAATGTAACCAAATCATGTTTGAGGTACTAATGTTGTATCATGTTCAGGGTTGCCACACTACCTGGAAAACCTGAAAAACTGGAAAAAGTCAGGGGAAAATTAGGGAATTTAAATATTTTAGTCAAAATCTGGAAAAGTCGGGGAATTTCATATGGCATTCCCGCCAAAAAGCAATTTTTAAACCAGTGTTGGAAGCGATCACTTTTCTTCACGAATTATGTATCGTATGAGCGTCATTCAGGCAGCTGATGTAGAGCCAGTTTTTGCAGCTGCAATCAGATTGTCTTTTAGAAAGGCAAAGCAAGTTTTCAGCAACTCTGGTTTCATCGAGAATCGAGAGATTCGCATGGGTATGTGCAGTGCATGTTGAACAAAAGAAAATGTCTTTCCATTCTCGTATAAAACAAAGTCGGTTCATTTCCAGTATACAGCACACACAGGATTTGGCAACATTATTATGAACAGTAAACCCAACATTTATGATGAGTGGTAAATGGGCCATTTTGGTGTTGGCGACAATTTTCAAAAAAATGTCAAGGATGTACCGTATACTAGAATTTTCCCACAAAATCTTTTAACCCTATTTTATCTTTTTAACAAATGTCTTATTTTCCATTTTGTAGTAAAATAAAAAAATAGTAAGCAGTCATCTAGGTTAACCATTTAATATAACTAACTATATTTGCCAAGGTAATCAATAATTCAATTTAAGTAATCAACTTTATTTTAATGTTATTCATATAATTTAATGTTCCTTCTTCCCTCTATCTTTATTATGAGTTAATAATCCTTTCAAATTTTAGGCAGTGTTCTCTGGCATACTCCTGCAAATAATTCTAGAAGTATGATGACATACCATCACGAAATTTAATGCACATATATTTTGCTTATGTGTGCTGCTAAATAAATGTAAAATACCTGGATTTATTTAAAGATATCATTAAATATATTTCTTCTTTCGCTTAGCTGCAAAATATCTCCAAAAAAAGACATTTTTTAATCCAGATTGGGCAGATTCTAATCTCAATCTTCAGTGGAGAAAACAACTGCAATTATAGTTAAAACAGTAATGCTTTGGGAAAGCGATTTTGTCATATGTAATTGGCAAATTTTATGCTTTCAAGTCATACCATAATTAATCCTTTCGCCGTCCTCTCCTGTCCGTGAAAATTTCTCCCCAGCGACCCTTTGGTTTTCACATGTAATGTTGTTTTCTCTGTACATACATAACTTTCATAGTGGATGAATTTAAATGAATATTAAGTAAAATTATAAGGAAATGAAGCGTAATGGAAAAGTAATACTATCTTTGCTTATTTCTAACAGCAGGATTAATTTGATAACATCTGATCCAAGCAGTCCACTCCTCCCATTTTGTTGTAATTTTTTACAATTATTGTTTTTTTTTACAGTTCTTTTTCGTGTTTCAACATCACAGTCATAGAGATTATGGACTGTACTCATCAAATGTATATCCTTCTTGTCTTTCCAATTCAGAACCTCATTTTTTCTCTTTTTCTGCTGAGACATTGAAAACCTTTCACTGTTTTCTATCTTATGTAAAATGGCACGAATATTCATAAAACCTGGGGGAGGGGGGAATTCAATGAGAAATAGAATGCCTGATTAGTACTGCCCTCTAGGAGGTATTAAAACAAAAAAACAAAAAATAAATAAAAACTCAAACAAATAAAACATTTAGAAAGCGTTTGAAACATTTAAAAGTTTTAAAATGTAGAAGAACACTTGAAGCGCGTTAAGGCCGCCCTGCAGAAGTTTCACTTGAACACGCTTGACGCATTATGGATGACGAAGAGTTTATTTACCTCTCAGCACAGCCAACACGCATTCTGCAGATAGACTGGAATTTTCTTAAAATACACCTGGAAAAGTCGGGGAATTTCATTCTCCTGTTTGAGTGGCAACCCTGCATGTTGTATGTGAAGGTTAAAAAACAAGGACTATGACATTCAAGAAATAGAGCACTCTGGCCAGCCTACTGATGTTGATGAGGCCCACCTGCAAGAACTCGAGGGAGAAGATTAGTGTACAACCACTCGAGAATTTGCTAAGGAGTTAGATGTTAGTCTATGTCCATTAGGTGCGCTATGCATCGCATAAACTTAATGTACAAGTTTAATTGCTGGGTGCTGCATGAGCTGACTTGAGTAGATAGAGGCAGACATGTTCGGGTCTGCACTAATCTGCTCGAATATCAACACAAGGTCAAAATTCTGGACCGTATTGTCACTTGTGATAAAAAGTGGATTTACTTCAACAACACAGGCCGAAAAGGAGGTTGATCTGCACCTGGTGAGCCCGTCATCAGCGTCACAAAGCACAATTTGACTAATAAAAAGATCATGCTTTGTATCTAGTGGAACTGCCGTAGTATTATTCGCAAAGAGTATCTGGAAAATAGTAAAACCCTCGTCAGCAAGATGTTAGTCTGTGTTGACACTGCTATCAAGGGAAAACATCAAACTGAGTTCCAGAGCAAAAAGTTAATGTTCGATCAGAATAATGTGTCTGCATTCACCAGTTGAACTCTGTATGGACTTGAATGGGATCTTTTGCCATGACCACCATATAGCACAGACATCACTCCTTCAGACTTCTACCTGTTTTCATACCTGCAGCTACATCTTGCTGATGCTATCTATCATTCTGCACAGGACATCCAAAATGAGGTTGAACTGTTTTTGAACTCGTGACCACTAAATTTCTAAGGCTTTGAAAAACCATCAAAACGCTGACAGAACATCATAGATTTGGGTGGTGAATTACTATCTGCACTAAAGGTACTGCTGTCGTCTTTTTTTTTCTAACTTTTTTAAGAAACTTTTTTGGTGAAGAACTTTTATTACAACCAGATGTTTAATCTGGTGTGTTTAAATAATCCTTACATGCATAAAAGTAATATTATTTCAATAGCCAGTTTGTTTAATTCTTCATAGAGTGGACAAAGACTTAACACAGTAATTATTACCCAATGCAGTTTGCCCATTGTGCTTCTGAAATGCAAATAATGACATTTAGACTCATAGCAATTCCTTTGCACAGATTTTGTTTCCCTGCAAAGTTTGTAGGGTTGTATTTCAGTGTGTATTGAATCAAAATACTTTTTTGTATGATGCTAAACTATCATTTGAAAGAATTTTTGAGCTGTTAGCAAAGTAGGAAAATGGCAGACAGTTATGAAAGTAGCAATATGGCTGAATTTTTCAAGAAGTACACTGTCTAACCTTGAAAAACAATTTAAAAATTTTGAAACTGTTACTAAGAAGCAGGGATTAGACTGCAGAAAAGAAAAAACTTCTCATGATTTGTTTCTTTTATCCATAATTACCCATTGCAACAGTTCCCATGGTATGTATATGCGAGTTATAGGAGATCTATTTTCTATTCATGTCTAAAGTTAGTTTCCAAATTGTTTACTTTTTAAAAAATGTTATTGTTATGTATTAGTTTTAAATATTTTAGTTGTGAAATTGAAACAAAAATAATAATTTATTAAGCATGTTTTCCAAATGATTTTAAAGCAAAAGAAAAAAAAAAAAAAAGAAAAAAAAAAAAAAAACTTTTTAAATTATAATGTTGCATGCATACAGGTTCATAATACAAGTAGATTGTATGCACACAAAATTCATGATAGCTTGATATAATTTATTTTTCCAAAAGTAACACATCACGTTTCTGGAACTTTCCACAAAAATAGTCGTGCAGTGCACGACTATGTGAAGAATTCATCACATTCTCACAGAGTACAATCAGTAGTGACACTTCAAACTACTCAGAACGTTAAACACAACGCGATGCCAAGCGCATCTAAAGAGTAAAGCTAACCTGCAGGTATCTCAGTACTCCAAACTCATGTTGAGCAAAAAACTGATAACAGATGCTCTCTCTGGTCTTACATAGTTTTCACCCGACAGCCATGATATTTCTAATACTTTCTGCTTGTCAAAATTACTGGAAGGGATATGAGGCCCGAATATGGTTACAGTTTCACAGAAAATCAATTATAGTTATTTAGTTACAATATTCATTACAGTTACTCAAGGACTGAACCAAAATGTTGCCAAATTTTTTGACAAAAATTAGTCACCAAAACTGTTGCCAGCTTAGCAATATCTCGCCAAATTAGTGAGCTAACCATTTACTCAAAGTTAAACACTCTTGCCCTTGTATTGTTATTTTTCTGGCAGAGTATTGTCTCTCTAAATTTTCATCTTGCATTATACAGAAAAATAAAACTTCACATATAATTTATACTAAAATCATCTATTTATGTACAAAATTAAACATTATTTGTGTAATTTTACATTTTTTACAGCGTTTTCTGCTGCTGTAAAAGTTTCAGCTATAAGTAATTTTCTTTATAAAATGTGTATTAGAATTTTTTTTTAAAAAATTTATAAATCTGTTTTTTATCACCCATGAAGTTGCCAGTAGGTATAGTGAAAAGTGACCATGTTTTCTTGTTTCAAAATTTTTTTTAAATAAATATTATGTGTTATGTTCTATGTGCAGTTGTGACAACTGCATGCAACAACTGCAGTCTAATAACAACAGGATCTCATAAAAATGAAATGTACTTTGAAGATAGTATCATCATTTTTCTTAAGAAGTGTTAACAATTGTGTTATAATTGCACAGCTGTTCATTTCTAGGGCAACTTGAGTGATGACCATTTAAATTCTTATTTTCAATCAATGTTTCCCAATTCTGCCAAAAATACACACTCATACAAAAACTGACGCATGAGGAAAGCTTTGCTATGCACAGTGGTTAAGTGCATGGTAGATTCTACGAGAAAGGAATTTGTATAATTAATGCAGAATTTGCCACTTACATTAGCTACTGATAATAATGCTGATCAAAATGCAAGCTCTGTAAATTTTACGAATTGTGTTTTCATGCAAAGATAATAGTTGAGGCCAAATATTCTTAGATCTCATGCGTTCGTATGCTTAGAAATTTATACCTTGAAGAAATAGTGTTGTCTTTGCTTATGACAGTAAAAACATCAAGTTGTGCAGTGTAAAAGGGAGTTGTAACTTCTAGCTTTTAATTCTTCTGCAAGGATGTTCTTGCTATGCTCAGAATGTCAATTCAAGAACTAAAATGTTGAACAGCTATTGATTAATCTATATTATTTTCTTCAGAAATATTTGGAACATAAAATCTCAAATGTGGGCCAAATTAAACTTCACAAAATTTTTAAACATGTGAGCATTCACTTGTTATCCTTTAGATTCTATTAACAAAATAATTAAACATTTTGAAGCTGTAAAGCATTCCTTCTCTAATGAAAATGCTGATTTTACTGATTCAGATTCTAAACATTAAATCACAAGTAGAAAATCCTGCATATAAATTTTGCTATCATTTCTTCAGTAATATATTTCCTCTTTTCATTTTTATTACTGTTTTTCATCCACAAAAAGATCTCCAACTACATGTTCTCAGGGAAAATTTTGTGGCTTTTTTTTTAGATTTAATACAAGATTTGTTAAGCATTTAGCCTTTCTGGCCAGTGCAGCTGATGCATCCATTTTTAGTGTTTACTTTCATAAAAAGAAAAATCAGAATGATGATCTGTTTTGGTAATTGGTTCTAAGACTAGAGTTTAAATTCTGTAATCTTAAATTTTCAGATTGTACTCTTTTTTTTTTTTAATATTTAGATATTTTTGTATATCGTGTAGGTCATTAAAAATAAAACTTTGGTAGTTTAAGTTCTTCTCCATGCATTCAACTTTTGAGTGATTAACCCTCTGACTGTTCAATTTGTGGACTAAAATCGCTTCAGAAAAATATTTTTTTCCATATTTTAAATCTATATATATTGAAGAATTGAAAAATGCACTTTTCTTTATAGAAAATATTTTTTATATAGATTTTTATCATAAGAAACTAAGTTGCCAGAGAAACCATATCAGATGTTATCCCCCCCCAAAAAATATTTCTTAAAATAAATTTCAGTCGAATTACAGCTAATTTCTATTTATTGCATAATATAAAAAGTAAAATGTATAAAATTTAATAAAATATAAAGCGCTGAGGGAAAAATGCTTCAGAAATGCAGTTTAGTATGATAGAGTTCAAAACAGGGTTCAAGGCAGTCTAACTTCACAGTTTTTGCACCAGATTCAATAAATCTAATTAATACTCAATCTATTTATTGATCTAATTAATAATTTAATTAAATAATCAAGATAATCGCTGAACTTTTTCTAGCAGCCATTTCTGTAAGAAAAAAGTTGCTAAAAGTGAAGTTTGAGCACTAATACCACATGCCTTCAAATGCCGCAATTTAGTGGACAACTAACAATATCTGTTGGCCAAAATGTAAACTAAACGCCTAATACTGTATATAATTTATTTCAATGGTTAAATGGGGAAGAAACGGGATGCGCTCCTCAATAAAGGAAGAAAAACTTATGCCCGCAGAAATCACGGGATAAGCAAATTTTGCTACATTTGAGTTGCCCATGGAAATCGCGGGATGATCAGCCAGAGGGTTAACTTATAATTTTTTTAAAGAAAGTATTAATAACTTTTTTAAAAAATACTTTTATTCATTTTACATAAAAATGTTTTAAATGTGACTTTATTATATTTTATAATAGGAAACTTCTTAGAAACAAGGCACCAGAAGAAATTGCCATCAAGCTTCATGAAAAGCTTAAAACTTTGAAAATTCTGGAATGAATGTGGTCAGAGTTAGAAAATGATTCTGTGATGTTAAAATCTTGCAGAGATTCGTGTACATACTATTTGTTTCTTTGTATGTATTATATTTTTAACTCATCTTTGTCAGGTAAGGTAATTTTACCTCTACAGTACAACTTGCATTTAATTTTCCCTGGCAAAGATCTGTTAATTCATGTTATGTCTGGAATAATTTTTCAGACTATCAGAATTGTAAAAAAATTTCTAAATAAAAGTTTCTAAATACTTAATTCTGTAATAATTTGCTTCTTATGTTGTATGAAGTTAAAGTAAAGCATTTAGGAATGGGCATTTTATTAATTAATGATTTTTTAACCCTTCCTTAAAATTATATTGTTATAAAAGTAAGTAATACATTCAGTAATTATGTTTACCTTAAATTCAACCAGTGTTGTGCTTAAATTTTGTCCAGAAAATTTGTTTTTATTTTAATTCAAATACGATTATTTTAGTAAGGAACAATCATTACATTCTTTAAAAACATAAATACTTAAAAAACACCTTCAGATGAATAGAATATAGCACATGGATTTTTAGTATACGGAATAAAGATTCATTTACATCAGCAAAACCACTCATTAAAACTTTGTTCAAGTTATTAATAAGTAAGGCAGGTTATAAGAGAAATTTCTGGCTAAGTCCTGGCGGTGGATGAAAAATTAATTTAATTTAAGCATTATGAAATCTATAAGTAACAACCAAAAAACCTTGCAGGTAAATTTAAAACATGGAAAAAAAAGTAATTGGGAGTAAATTGTAATTCTGTGAAATTTAACTAATCTTTATATATTTCTATTCCTCAATTATACAATTAATTTTCAATTTTATTTCATGACAGCATTCTGTACGATTTTTTAACCAAAATGGGGCAAAAAGTTAAGTTAAATTTAAACTTGTTTTTAATGGAATACATTACTAAAGAGTCTTAAGGAAAAGAACCACAAAATAGAAAAAATATTTTAATTCATTTTAAAATTACATACATATAATGTGTTTTAAAACACTTATTTTTCCCCATATTTGAAAATGGTTGCGCTGAAATGGATAACTGAAATTTATCATTAATTAATATTTTAAAATTTTAGATAAATATTTTAATATAGACAATATTCAATACATACATTTTTCAAAATAAATACATCACGTTAACATATCTCAGCAATTAAAAAGTTTCATATAAAATACTTCCATTTAATTTTTTAAAATTTTATTATATGTCAATATATTAAAAAAGTAAAAAAATCTAAAAATAGTAAATCTATTTAAAAAAAAAAAAATTCTTTCTTTCTAATTTATTTCTGCAACCTGCCTTTATAATGAATACAGTATACAAGGTTTAAATTCCAAATGGTGAATAAAAGCATGATGGATTTTTGTATTTATTTATTTTGATATCCCATTAATTGCTAAAAATAAGTGTGACCGTCAAATTAGGATATCAAACAAATATAATGGCATTACATATACTTTAAACCAAAAGGAAATGAACCAAAATCTGTTAGCTTTATGATAAACTGAATTAATAAATTTTTAATTTATTGATACAAAATCTGAAAAACCTTGCATGCCCTACAAAATGCCATAAGAAAGGGGGAGAAAACATTCAGGAAGTAAACTTAACCATGTATGGTAAGACTAATTATGAAGAAACTAATTATTTTTTAGTTTAATTACAAATGCTAAGATTAAATAGTAGTTTGGCAATTTCCCTCCAGTTAAGTATTTCAAGCATTTTGTATTTTTAATGACGAATATTCACTCCTTTAAGTTATAAGATAGTGAAAATAACTATTCTTTTAAGATATAATAATTATTTTTCAGTTAACAAGGCATAACAGGAATAAAAAAGCTTAATTTTTTTTAATTGATTCATTATAAGTTGTTTATATTAAAAATTTTAACTTATTATAATTATTTACAAATCTCAAATTCTGATAAATGTTCAATAAAAATAACCTTTTATATAAAAAAAAAATTCGCTTTTACGCTGACCAAGATTTTTGAATTTATTCTCAAAATTTAAACTTCCACTTTTTTAAAATTTCAACAATTAATTCAGATGCATTTAATTAAATATAATAATCGTTATATGATCTTTAAACTAAAATGTGTGATATTCACATAAAATATATGAAGCATGAAAAACTTTACACACCAATACAAAGAGAAAATGGCATGTATATATAGCACCGCATTTTATTAATCATATTTTAATTCTACTGATATAAAATCATACATAACAGTCTAGATTAAAACTATAATACCTTTTCTTTTTTTACAAAATTACCAAGTTAAATTTTAGAGCAATAATACCAAGCTATTCAATATGGTCTGTGAACTTTTTAATTACCAATGATATTATGCAGAACTAAATATAATATATATAATAATAAATGTCTTTCAATAGTTGCATGAAAATATCAATAGCATTACCATTTCCATTATATACTGCAGTGTTATTTAAATTCATAACTAATTTGTTACTATATATTCACACACACAAGGATATTCATCTATAAAACAATGCATATGCATTTGATTGCAAGACTAAAATATACAAAAAACAAAATCGGTTATAAAATTATGACACACATAAAAGCAACTTTTAATAAAAGTGTTAAATAAAGATTAAAAATATTTTAACTGCAAAATTAATATATACAGCAAATAAAAAATGACAATATAAATGTACACACTCAAGAAAATACAACTGGTTCATAAAAACATGATACATTAGTTACAAATATTATTCACATTTCAAAACTATAACTTAAGTAAGATAATATATGCATTTCTGGTTATGTGAATATGTAAATATAAAATATTTTCCTAAGCAAATCAAATTTGAAAGTTTTAATATTATCTTTTTCTTTAGCATTATTTTTGTATTCAAAAAGCAAAAAAGGGGGCTAGTTAACAGCAATAAGAAAGCCACAAATCATACTTAAAAAAAAAAAAAAAAAAAAAAAAAAAAGGTATAAAATTTTATTACAAACTAATGCATATTTTAAAAAATTTCAATCTAATATGGTTTGTTACCTTCATTCTGCCATTGCAAATGACATTTAAAACTCAACCAGTGAAATTGCTAAAGTCAGTTTTTAATTTAATAGTAGGTGTAGATACAGTCCGTGAGGAAATCTGTGTTCTAGAATCAGGTGAATTCCTATTCAAGTCTGATCCCATCTGAGCAGCACGTATGCAAGTTTCTAGTTTGGTTTTTAAACGCAAATTCCTGCTCACAACAGTCCGAAACTCTTGAGGATACTGAGGTCCAATTTTCATCAACTGTTGCAGTGCATAAGCATGTACCTTCTGCCTAAATGAAGATGCTACTTGAGATGTTTCTGGATCAATTAGTAGATTTACTAAAGTTGGAACATATAGTCCTACTATCAAGAGTTCTGAAATATTATGCATTAAAATATTATAAGAGGAAAACAATAATGTGACATAATAATGCAAAAACTGTTGTGAATATTATGTAAAAAAAAGCATGAAAGTATTATAAATGGTACTTTTATGACCAAATAAATTCAAATTATTTAGATTAAGCTTATCAGAGCTTTTTGATAAGAGAAATAAAATTTGAAATTCCTATAGAAATTTATTGTAATTTCTACAGCACTCTGTCAGCTTCTGTAAGGGTAAATTCCATTTAAATTAATCATTGACTGATCACTTCTAATTAGTGCTGCACAGCCATAACTGAGCAGAAAAACGAAAAAGCAAACAATTGACTTGATAATACAAAAGATTCTACACATAGTAGACCCAGTGTATTTGCTCTGCCCAAGATTTTATTGTTGTTGCAAGCTGTTACAATTGTTTTGTTGCATCATTTTGCATTAGCAAAGGTGGGAAATATCACTACAGTTCTTGAAAGTTGTAAATGGTATTGAGGTTGACCTGGGGTTTACTGCATAGAATCCAAACATCTTATATTCGTCTTTCGGATATTTGGATCTGCTCCTAATGCAAGCAGCTGAATGGTCATTTAGACCACTACACAAGCCTCTACCAGCATTCTAAATGCAATACTAGAGGATGTTATTGGCTATTGTGAATGGTTTCATGTTGTGGGCATGGTTGCAAGTCCTGTATATAGATGCAGGTAATCCCTGCTTTGTTAGGATGCAGCCTAAATGCATGGACATGCCTAGTTGATACTTATGTTGTGCTGTGGGGTGTTGCACCATGGAACCTATGACACTGTTAATTGCCAGGTGGAAGAAGATGCATGTTTTTATTACATTTATGGTTAACCAATATGGCTTTATTACATTTATGGTTAACCAATATGGTATTTGTTTGTTTTCTGCTATTGCTGCCTAGTGTTGCAACTGTTTAGATGTTGTATAGTACCATCTATTAGCAGACATGGAAAGAACAACCCATTAAGCCCCTGGTTTCTTGAGGTGGTTAAATTACCTTGAAGGTCAAACTGAGGTCTACTTTGTAGAATCCAAGCATCTTACTGCCAAGCTGAGTGCACTCTTTCTTGCCATGCTGATACTTTTCCTAATGTGACCATCTAATTGGCTATCAGAATAACTGCACATATTTTGACAGGTCAAAATTTAAAGTGTACCTGGTACTAATTGCAGCAATTATAAGCTACACTGATAAAATAGGTTACAAATCAAAGGTCATAGTCCCGTAGTGATTAGAATAAGTTCCAGCATTTGACATTGATAATTTACAATGAGCAATTACAAGAATGTTTTATCAATATAATATAATGAAGAAGTTTTCATTACCCATGCAATAAAACATTCAAAATAATATCAATAACCAAAGCTTTTCAGCAAATATAGTATATATAAAATATCAACACAGAGTTATTTAATAAAAATGAACACAGAGTTTTTAATAAAAACAAAAGATCTTAACTATTTGATTCTGGGAGTAATAAACTTATTGTTAGGAATTCATTTTAAGGTGTTTCTTTCCCTTACTAGATGGTGCCAGGGGTTCCAATACTGAGAGAAAATTTAAACCTTGTTTCTCTACTTACTTTTATACTAATACTTTTTCTGCTACTATCTTTACTTACTTTTATCGTTAGCAGCAACATCCACCAGAACTTGTAATGCCAAGATTAATTCATTTATAGCCATTATTTTGATTTCTGGAAATGTAATATGAGAGCAGAGTTCTGTTGTAAATTGTCCCATTAATTCTAAAAGCTTTGGACATAAGGCATGGATATATGGACCTGCAACTGCTATGTCTGGTATTGCAAATACTGACTGTAGACAGGATATAGCTTTTACTTGCACCTACAGAGAAAATCATGCAAAATTTGTGTTAAATTAAATTTTATTATTGTATTTCTTACAAGCATTGTTATTTCACAACTAACTCAGAGAGTTGCAGTTAACTGAAATGTGTACTTGACTTTCATTTTTAAAATAGTGAAATGAAGTGAAAAAGAATTTAAGTACGAACTTAAAAAAAAATGTCATAATTAACTTGTAACTATCATAATTAACTTGTGTTCTTTTTTTTTAAACAGTTAATTAGAAAGTGAAAAAAATAGCTTTAAATATGAACTTACAAAAATTCTATTATAACTATTAGCCATAATTAACCTGTCTGAACAATTTTCATTAAATGTATTTGAGCACAGTAACTTACATACAAGATTGTTTTACAATCATACATTAAATACACACAAAAGAAATTAAAAACTAATATAATTATAAATAAAATAAATATATTTGGGTAGAACATATAATTCCTCACTATCTTAATATCAGTCTATTACTATTAAAAAGTCTATTACTTCATATAAAAAGTAACTTTTTAATTGATAACTACAGTGGCAAAGAAAACTTACAATATATTGAATATCAAATATATTAAAATACAGTATTTTTCTGCATTTCAAGTTTATAAACATATAGATTTATCGATGTATAAACCCCTTAAAGATTAATATAAAAAGATAATTTGTTTGCTTTTTAATTTTTTTCCAGATCAATATATACATAAAATTTCTGTATTTACACTTGTAATACAAAATTACTAAAGTAATACATAACAATCTGTTGTTATTTGCAAGGACTTCCAACAGACACAGGTACTTTTATATTCCTTTGAATTACAAAACTATCATTTGTATTCTTATGGAAAAAAAAAAAAACAATTAACTGCTCAAACAGCAATTACAGCTCTGCAGATGTCTTTTGTAAGTTCATAAGCAATTATCTTCTAGTAAAATTTTGATATTAAAAGTTATAATTTGGCTGAATTTGCACTACTGAAAATCAGCCAAACTTCAATCTTAAATTAAAATTAGTTTAACAGAATAGCTCCAAGTATTTTAACAGAATCTGGCATAAGTTACTTTTCTTCCAGGAGCAAATATATTTTGTACTATTTTACTAGAAATATGTCAAGGAAAACGAGAGTAGCATTTGTAGGACTGCCACTGATCATATTAGGAGGAAAAAAAAAGATTTAAGACTTCCCTTCTGCAAAATGTTGAATGAGGAAGGTTTCAAGTAAATTCTCATGTCTTAAATGAAAAATGTTCACTGACATTTAAAAAAATATATATTTATTTATTTACTTATTTTTTAAGAAAGAAAACCTATGAAAAATAATAAAAATCTGAAAGCTTTCACATTTTACATTACATCTAAAGGGATTTTTTTTTTTTAACATTTTGTGTGTTACCTTTATTTATTAAATATCATGCTCTTTTCACTTAAAACCATAAAATTCAATTCGTCAGCAATATTGCAAAATAGTTTTAAAATGAGCATTTCTTTAGAATTTCTGATACACAGTCTCCCACGCTCGATAAAAATATTTTTTCTGTACAATGTTGCCATTGCTCACTTTGAAATCCTTGAGTTTGTTAATGAAAAATTCATTAAAATTTTACAAAATATGAAATCGATAATAAAGCAGATTCCAAATTTGGCTTCCACATGCCCATATTCACAGTAGGATTAAGTCACTCAAAATTCGATGGCTCTATGTACCATTGTTTTATCAAAATGCAAGAAATATACATGCATTTATGCAGATTTTTCATTATTTAATTTCTTCAAATATAATTCAGGACTCTAACATTTGGGGGCAACAGTTTGAAAAGTGAAACGGACATTTATAGTGAACCAACGCAAAATCGCAAAATGAAAACAATAGTCCTTCAGAAACAAAGCCCCTTTGGACTAATAAAATACTTGGAAGTGAATGAACTATCTGCATATTTAACAACTACCCTATAAAATCATTTTAAATAATAAGAATTTAAATTGCCAGATGATTAAGAAAATAAAACTCATTGCATCGAAGTTGACATGCTCTCTATATTATTACCCCCCAAAGAAAATGTTTAATATTTTTACTATATTTATTGACTTGACTCCCGAATTGAAATTGAAATTGACTCCCGAATTGAAATCCGAAATTAATGTAAAAAACAATCACTCAAAATTATTTTACTGTTTTTCTCTTTTGCGCAATATTTACATAATAAGTAGTAAATCTTAAAATTCAATATCCCAAATTAATCTTTTCTTCTTTTTTTAACACTTATTTTCTTTTAACCATTATGCTTTTAGATTGCTTGGTCCAAAATGAAAAGGCTTTTTCTTCTTTAGCAACATTAAGCTTGACAGCTAAAAGAAAAGTGAGACTGAATATGGAAGACTTTACAAAGCTGTAAAAGAACAAAAGCTTTTATGGAAAGTGTCACATAATCTTCGAAGTATTTTCCTGTCGCTTGTTTGCTGAGGAACAATGACTTTTCCTGATCTTACTTCTAAACGGAAAATCGCAGACTTTATGTTCATTCTTCATTAATCACATGAATTTTTTTGGAAGCTGGAAAGCAATATTTAAAAAAAAAAAAAAAATTAAGGGTAGGTATGCATCTGTTCCTTATTATTATTACTTTTTTTCTTTTTCAATGGATATTTCTTAATTTTTGAAGCATATACTATTTAAATTAAATGACACAAATAAGCATTAATAGAGAATAAAAGCTTCAAAATGTACTTTTAACTTTTTTTACTATTTATTTTATTTGAAAAACCATATGAAAAATTAAAGCAAACTGTTTAGAATATTTTAGCAGCAAAAATATTCAAACACTAAAAATATTTAAAATTTACTCATTTAAAACAAGTAATCATGATTTAAATGATTACTTTAATATTTTAATGATTACTTAATTATTACTTTAAGTATTCAGCTTTTATAAAATTGGGCAAAAGATTATGAAGGGATAAAATAAATATAATTCAAGGAAAACAGAAGGTTGGAAACTGTGCAAAAATTGCTATATAAAATGACACAAATATTATTCCTTATTCACCAGTTGTTCTGGACATTAAAACTTTTATTTTATTTTTGAAAGTGGGAGGTGTGAAGTTTTAAGGAGGGGAAATCATTTTACTTACCATTTTACCATCCTGCTGAAGTGTATGCTTGAAAGTATTGATACAATGTTGTCGCAAATTCGGAGCACAAACAACTTCTCTTGGTGCAGATGTAATGTATGTAGACATTGATAAAATAGCAATTAACTCATCAGCTTCATCTGAGTTTGAATCTGATAAAATAATTTTAGAAATCTTATTTTTGAAAGAAATAACAGAGGAATAACTGTAATAACTACTTCCACAGTTGATTTATAAATATTATAAATTCAAATCAAGTAATCTTAAAAATAAACCTCACACTCTTTATTTTTAAGTGAATCTTAAGAACTGCTGTAAATGCCAAGAGACAATACACATATTGTAAAAAAGTTTCAGTTTAGATAAAAGCCTACTGTAAGCAATTCTTAGAATTTTTATATAAAATGAATTATTGAAAATTCCTTATTGATTCCTTAATTATTCCTTATTATGTCCTTATTGAAAATTCAGTCCAAATTATTAGAAATTCAGTCCAAATACTGCAGGTTTTTTTATTAAAATGTTATGAACATGTAGCAGGCAACAGCATGAATAAACTACTCCCCCAAAACAATCTATTTGACATATTTTAAACAAACATGAAATTATAATTTTAATTAACAGCAAATTAAAACAATGTGTTAAAAACTGAAAAACACAAAGATTATTAATTCATTTATATATACACTGTAACATACATTACAATAACTTTGTTTTTGATGAAAGACATATTTATCATCATAATGATAACTATGAAGGCATAAGCATTACCACTTAATAAACTGCTAACAACTATAAAGGACATAAGCACTATCACCTAATAAACTGCTACAGATCAATATGCTTCAGATTAAATTTCAAAATTCCTATAATATTTTATTATGAGCATTCTGATAGATTAGAATTTCTAAGCATATTTTCTCTTCACAGAAAGTATCTCAACATAAAACATTTAAAAATCCCCCTAACAGATTATCATATCTGAACTAAAATTTAAGATATTTATATTTTGTTCAAAATAATTACTTCACAACTCCCAATAAAAGATTCTTCCACCTCAATAGAAAAATTCATATACAATACTAAATAAGTAAAAAATATCTGGCAGCATACAGAAAAAGCTTCATCATAATTAAAAAAGAAAGGCTGGCTTTTTATAAATTTTTACATTATGAAAATTTAATTAAAACAATTACTTTAATGAAAAAAATAACAGTTATATCCTTCATCTACACTAATTAATTATGGAAAGAATAGTATGCACCATCATATGACAAACTCCCAAATTGTTATAAGTTTGCATGTGCATCACTGATTGTCACATTTCTATCACCTATAGTAAAAATATTTAATTATTAAAAATATTCGTTATTTGGAAGAATTGTACTCAAATTTTATTAAAGAAAACATATACTTACTGGATTTGGAAAAATGTGTCAGATGAGCCAATCCACTCTGAAGAAGATTCAACCAATCCTTTTTGCAAGACACATTTTTAGCCATAGGATTAGAACAAAGATCTTGTAAACATTCTAAAATGTTATCAAGGAAGTTTTGAAGAGTATCTAGGTGCTCAGATTTAATTTCTCTCAATACTCCTATTGTTATATGAAGTACCACTGCTGCTACACCTGCTGAAGCTTTAAAAATAATTAAAATAATGATTTATCAAAAATACAGTAAAATAAAGATAACTAAGTTATATTATGCCCAAAGGGGCATTTTTTTCATTTGCACACACATACACATTTTGAGAGCATTTGGGCTAAAAATATTTAAAAACAGCATATCTTTAGAATTTTGGATAGACAGTTTCGTGTGATGGAGATAAAAATTTTTTTTATCTGTACAGTGTTGCCATTGCTTGCTTTGAAATCATTGAGTTTGTTAATAAAAAATTCATTAAAGTTTTACAAAATGTGAAACACACAATGAAACAAATTCCAAATTTAGGCTTACAGATGACCAGGTCTGGGTGGAGGACTACATTATTAAAAATTTAATACCATTGTTTTTTGCCTATGTGAGAAACATATGCACATTCATGCAGATGCTTCATTATTTAATTACTTTAATGCAAATTTATAATTATTGTTAAAAATATACTATTATTAAACTGCTTGGGGGACATTCAAAACTATTTTATATTTCCAACTATATTAAATTAAAAAATAAAATATATATCTACAGCTAACTTGCTAACAAAATAACTTTTCATATAACACAAATATCAGGAATGATTCAACGTTATTATATTTATTTTCACTTATAATAATAACTTTATATACCTTTAACATACTTCTCAGATAATTATAATCTTTATTTAAAAAATTACACAGTGCATTAAGGCAATCTTATTTCAGCAAACTTTTAAGGGTATGAACACATTAATTTTATGAAAAAGAATACTGATTGTTGTGAACAGATGCAGGAGAAAATAATCACATCTAAAAAAACTCACAGATATGATTTTAAGACCATATTACTGATATAAACAGAATTTAAACTCCTAAATTCAACAGGAAGTTACAAAATTTTAGCCTTGTATGAGAGTATATAGTAACATTTAGATCTATGTAGATAGTAAGATTCATGCAATTCAGAATAACCTGATAGCAGAAAGTTAGAGTTTGAACCTTTTGATGGTAATATTGGTGCAGCTAGTGCTTGAATTAATTTTGCAGACAATTCTGGATGAAGATAAGGTGCTATACATCTCTCATAATATCCAGCATTTTATGAAATTCTAAATAAACAAGCAGTGATGATTGTATTTTATTACTGCAGTACAGTTCTTCAGTTTATGCTATAAAATGAAACTTTTCACATTTTCTGAAATACTAACATCGACCTAACTCAAGTAGGTCAAGTTCCATCTTAATAGAAACATGAGCTCTTAGACCTTTATTCCCGCCAATTTTCTCAAAAAGAACAATAAATTTTCCAAAATAGGGTTCCTATACTCTCAAGGCCTTTTGGGCAGTGACTGTAGTGTCCACAAGCTAAGATTGCACTGCAAGCAAGAACTTTTAATCAATATTTTAATTTATTTATTTATTACTAATTCTGTTTTTATTATTACTTTGAGCAACAGATAAAGATAACTAATAAAATAGGTATTCTAGCTAATGACATTTAAGCTATTAGCATAAAATCTGAAATATTTAGAAATTGTACAATTTATTATGATGCTTACTATTATTACAATATTCACTAATATAGGAAGTAAATATTTAATACAGAGGTTAGTGAATCATGGGTAAAAGCACAGCACCTAGCATAAACTTAAAATCAAGACAATTAGGAACACATCATGCAGTTACCCAACTCTGGAAATTATGATGACTTACCTGCATATGAACACAATGATGGAAGCTGTACTAGAACTTTTAAAGCTGATATAATTAATGATGCAGAATTCTCATTTAATCGTTTTGTGTCCTTCAAATTTTGTACTACAGTGCCTGTGTTGTTTGCTAAAGAAGGACTGATTTGTGGCAGTTGGCGAACAATCAGACATAAGCAATCTTCTAAAACAGAAAATACCACTGATTTTTCAGGAGTTATTACACCACTTTCACCACCTTCACCAATGGATGCTAATTCATTTACTGGATCTTTTGGTTCTTGGTTAGCAGGAGCAACTTCTACATTAAAAACGAAAAAAAAAAAAAAAATCATTATTTTATTTATTGCTATTTTTAACTAAATTTTATATACAGAAATGGTGCAGATTTTTCAAGGACAAGAAAAAAAAATTAAAAAGAAAAAGATGGAGAGTTAAAAAATTTAAAGATTCAAATACTTATCAAATCCTTTCAACACAAATTTGATCAGCGCTATGTTCTGTATTTAAACAATCAATCTCACCTTTAAGTTTCTTCTTTCTTTCACTTTCAATAAAATTTTTATGAGCTGTCACAAGAAGCTGGGCTACTTCCATAACTGCAAGCTGACTCTCAGTGCATTCTCTAGTCAATAATAACCTAGTAATAAAATTACATCGATTAGCCTCTAATAGAAATCACTAGATTATGAGAATATATTCCATGCATTTATGATATTTATTTATGAGCAAATACTTAAAAATTTAATTTAAATTATAATAATAATTAATACTTAAATATATTAAAAATTAGTTTTGTGGTGATTAACATCTGTTGAATTAATAATTACTTTGAAGCAGGTCATGATAATTTTATGCATAATATATAAAAATTAAATATTTTAAAGCATATCTTTCTAAAGACTGCATAAACAATAAAAACAAAATTACATTAAATTTAAAGTTCAAGAGCATTTATTTGAAACTGACAATTTTGTCTAACTTCAACTAGCTTGAGATGAAAGTTAAAATGTGTTTATAAAGTATGAAATAGTAAAAAATTTCTCATTCGATATCACTATCATTCTGTGTGTGGTTATGCGTTGGCCCTGGATGAGCTGATATAAAGGTTGCAATTGAATCATGTGGGGGAAAAATTAGAAATATGTAGTAAATATATTGATAGTATTATTGCCATTATATACATCTAAAACAGATCAGAAGGGAAAAAATGAAACATATGGACATACATCTGGTTCCACTCTTTCAGCTGTAAAGTATAATTAAACAGAACCAGCTTAGTAATCTCATTAAAGGGATCACTGCACTACAGGATATGCTTCTTGCAAAGTGGAAATTACATAGCACCAAGTAAAACACCTAACCTTATGAGAATTCTTCCATGGGTAATACTCTGAAAATATCCCTGAAGGAACTAAATTCCAGTCAAATAATCATTTGCAAATAATTGTATTAGCTATTCTGCCAGCAGACAACAAATTTCTAACAGAAGTGAATTTTTAACTTCTGTCCCTTCCCTAAATGAACCTTATGAAAATCGGTCTGAAAAAGTCAGTTTTAGACAGATGACATAAGGAGAGCTGTATTAGATGTTTTTGTGCAGTAAATAATAATTTCTATTAGAAAAGAGTTTTTAAGTTGGTCATCAGTGAAGTAATTGCCTCCACTTCGCAGCAATTTCTTACAGAAAGATTAAACATATTGGGCATCCTCAGTAGGAGAAAAGACAGTACACATTAGAATGTATTAGAAAAGGTTATCTATCTTAAAACCTAGCCATCAATGAAGCAACACCTTTAACATTAGCAACGGTTTTTTAGAGAATGATTGGGCCTACTAAGTTTCCTTAAACAGAAATTTTTTTTCTCTTTATTTAAAAGCATCAAATACTAGATTACAACTCTCAACAAAGATATTAAAAAATTACAGTACCTATGTAGTACATTGGCAAGTTCTATAGAAAGTTGTGAATCTTCTCCTAAAACTTTAGATGGCAATGGGTGATTGAGAAGCTGTATTAATGAGTGAAGGCAAATCATGACATAATCCACAGTAGAACTCGCATATGGTCCACATAATGCTTCAAGGCAAATTCCTTTATAAAATAAAAGAAAGAAACTCAAACTCTGCAGCATAGCATTTAAAATACACAGAACTTAAGATTATAACTAATGAATCTTTTTTATTATATAAGATCAAAATAATATCTGCTTTTACAGAATAACCTTTACATTCAAAGCTTCAGGCTGTAAAATATATTTCTGAAATTGTCACTAATTTAAAATCTTAAATTATTAGAAGGAAACAATTACAAAAAACACAAACTTATTTGAAAGTAATTATTATCATGAAATACTATTATTTGAAACAACTAGAAATTTTGTCTTCTGAATTTTTCCAGATTTCAGTTTAATTTTAGGAAAATAATGATACTTTGAAATTTAAACATATTTCAGTTAAAAAATTTTACAAGTAAGATATTAAATAAGAAAAAGGCAAAGCAAAAATACATATTTCCAAAGAGAGGGTATTATTACGGAATAACCTTTAACCGTTTTCTGACATTCTAAATCCATTACTTTTGAACTGAACAGTTTTATTATCCTGACCTTTCTTTGATCAGATTCTGCCTAACTCTGGTGTCAGCTGTTGTGCAGAAGGAGGGGAAGCATAATCTAAACAAATACAGCTCGTCTCTTTAACTCGCCACGTGATATAAACATTCTAAACATCCGTGTTTCTGATATCCCATCCAATCTTTTTATAAAAAAGGGTCTTTTAGGGTTATTATGTGGGGTTCTGTTACACTTTGCATTGCATTTCTTGCTTATATTTCCCATACTTCCCCTTTTCATTTCAGAAAGCCTTGATTTCAATTTATTATGGCAAGCAAGCGTTATTCATCAGAAGAAGAATATACTTGTATGGTAAATGAGCCAACTAGTGACATGGATAAGAGTGATGATTCATTTCTAAAGAGTTACAAAGCGATATTTCAAGTGATTCTGATACAGACATTTTGTCAGAGACTCATGTCACTGAGTGCCTGTCTTTCACTTCCTGTGGAAGAGTTTGCAACTTCTTGTAAAAAGTCATTCTTATATTTTTTAAATTAATTTTAAAGTTCATTAATGTATTTCATTGATTAAAACTTCAAAATAATTTGAATACCACCTACAAAAATTATTTCTCAAAGTTAAAAATTTTTTTTATATATTTTCATGTAAAGGAAAAAGATTATTACATGTTAATTTTAATATACATAGTAGCTTATGTAATAACATAAAATGGCACCAAAAATTATGACATTAGGAGCAAAACTTTTTTTTTTTTAAAAGTTAAGTTTAGTGGCACAAAAATTCCTTTCAACTCCCATCCATCCTGAGAGAACGTCTTAAACAAAGGTGTGCCATTTCAAAAGAGATAAGAAGTGAATTTAATTAATGCAATATGATTTATGGATTTTTATATTAAAGGAAACTATGTTAGTTAATTGGTATCACAAACATGCTTCTTTAGGTAGTTATAGCTGTGCATACAGGGTTACATTAAGCTTGCTTCATCTTTTAGCCTGCTCCATCTTTTCCTTTCCCAATATTCTAAGAGCGACACACAATGATTTGAAATAAAATCCATTTAATTACAAACAAAATAAAATACATTTCAATGGATGATAGTGTAATTTCTACAATTAATTTACATCCCCATGTAATCTGTATTGATCCTTGTTGAGATGTCTGGGCTCTTAATCTTGAGAGATATCTCTTTTGATGTTAATTTCACAGACCTGAAGTTTCTTTTCCATTTAAATTGAGTTTAAATATAAGCATAGCATCAGAATCAGTTACATAAATAAAATTCTTTTGAGTCCTTAATGAGGTGGCCCGTTTCGTTGACTAACTCAGTGGTTGTCTCATTACTTTAATTCAAACAAAGGCAAGGAGCCATAACCATATGCAAGATTTTTTTCAAATGACCAAGTAGATGGTTGATATTTTGGATAAGTATTGAACAGCCTTATTTAATTGCCTCTGATACTGCCATGGAATCATCAAAAATCAATATGTACATGAATTAAAAAATATAATTAAAATATTTAAAAACCACACCCAGCACACTGTCTGGACAATTTTTTGATAAACAGTGTCGTTGTTTATGAGGTCTAATATACAGCATCCCATAAATAATCAGGCCAGTTCAGCTGCACTGAGCAACAGAGATTAGAGGCAGCAAAAATTTTAGAATTTAGAGTAGTATTGAACAACAAAATTTAGGGATGGGAAAATTTTTTGAATTTAGATGAGGCACTGAGTAGCAAAATTTATGTGTGATGAAATTTTTAGAATTTAGGCAGCAGAATTTAGGACCCACAGAGGCTGCACTGGGCAGCTATATGTCTAGCTCCTGCCCTGTAACTAATAAAAAGTAAAAGAAGGTAATTATAAATCAAATGAAAAACTGGGTATTTTCTGAGTATCTCCACCTGCATGAAAAGTCAGCAAAGCAACTCTTGGCAGTTTTGTGAATTGGCAGAAAACATTTGTTTGTCTATCTTTAAAGCTCACATGTACTGTTTTGTTCATAAATAATATTTAAAAGAAAAAAAAATATAAGAAACAAAACATTTTGTGAGAACAACAAACTTTATAGAGTCAATGTTTACATTTTTACAGTCAATGGGCAGTGTTTAGCAAAATAACTATAAAATATAAAGTATGTGAGTTCTCAAGTACTTGCAGATAAATGGTTGTTTACTGTCATATGCGTACTAAAAAATTTGCTCAAAACAGGCGATTCTTCCTAAAGCAGGAACTGGGAGTGCAAATAATCAGAAAGTACTGAAAATTATGTAAACAGTTTTGAAAAATTACTTTAAAAAAATTCACACAAATTTCTTTTTTGATTTACAAAAGGATCATGTTTACATCAAAGTATTTATTAATATAATATGCATTTTTTTACTACAGTTTCCTCATATTTTAACAACATTAAGCAACTTGTATTAATATGCACTTTATTTCAGATAAGTATCTATTCTTATGAAGTTATGAAGTCTATTTCCATTTAATTTTCTGATCCATCATAACAGTAGATTATAGAGACTGATTAAAATTTCAAAACAAATAATGCTATTATACACTACATAAAGTAAAAGTTCTAAGCCTTACCAAATATCAAATGGAAAAAATCAGCATTAATTTCATCAGGAGTTCTGTTACTTTGGACTAAATAAGAATGAAGATTACGAGGCAGGTTGCTAGTTGAAGCTTTGCAAGTTTCTTCAAAACCTCCATGGCATAACCATAGAGTAGCTGCATTTAAAACTGGAGGCCAAGTATCTTTATAAAACTTCCGTACTGTATCCATTGTATCAGAACTGTAAAAGGCCCCGCCTTCATGTGGAAGCTGAGAACGAAACTCTGCCAGAGAAAACAAATCAATATTTAATACTAAAAAGAGAATAACTGAATGAAAATCTTTCATGTAAAGTACACCAACTGCAAACACCATTTGATTCAATAATGAGCACAAATGTAGAATATTTTTTGAATTAAATGTAATTAAAAAGAATATACAAATAACCTTATACATAAACACAGTAATCAAGAACTGTTATTTAATAAATGATAGAAAAAATACTGCTATATTTACCAATTATATTCTAATTTTGTGTAAGATAAATTAATGCAATTGTTAAAGCTAATGTTTTTGTAATAATATCTTTAAAACATCAAGGAAAATCCAAAATTGAACAATATTACTTCCAGTTTAATCTTCAAAGAACAGAAATTGAATTATTAACACTCCAAAATTTCTCTAATTTAGGAGTTTTATAATATTTTGGAGCAACCTTATTAAATATAAAACAGACTTTTGCTTAAAGACTTGATTTTCTGCTTAAACAGGATTTCTTGACTAACAAAGCAAATGAATATAAAATTCATAAGCTGTTTTAAATATTTTTATTAGAAATATATACCACAATGTTTAATTAATGAATTACACAGTGTCATACTAGAGTTCTGCTGCTGAAAATGTGAAAATAATTTTCTTTATGAAAATATGGAAGGTGCCTGTAAAGCAGGAGGAATATATCTCTTGCCAGTAACTAGAAACATAACACATATACAGTGGCTGTACTGCTAGTGCCCTTGAATCATTTATTTACTTCTTGCATTTGATTAGCAGAGCTGAATGTATGCTTTTTCAAATAAGAGGTGTTTGAAACAGCAGCTGTGATTCAGAATCCTATAAAATTTGAGGTGTGAGCAGTTGCACAGTTTCCAATTAAAAAGGTAAGCACCTACAGAAATTCACAGACAAATTTGAGCTGTTTAAGGTGGGTGATATTATGAATTAACAGACTATGATAAATGTGATACTAAGAATTCTTGAAAAGCAGGACTGATATTCATGATGAACAAAAGTCTGGCATACCATCTTCAATCACTTACACCGTTTTAAAAAAAAAATCAAAGCAAAAATTCATGCTCCTTGGCAAGTGATGATAAAGGATTTGCTACTGCCCAACCGGGATAGTGGTTAGCAATGCTGACTGGCATACCGAAGGGTCTAGGTTTGAGTCCCAGAGAAAGCATGGATCTTCGCAAAAGTGTAGTGTTTGTGCGGCACAGAGGCACTCTAAATAAACAGTGAGCCAAAAGTCCTCTCAAGAGGTTGGTGGTAAGGGAAGAGGAGACCCTCAGACCCTCTCACCCCCCTGGGTACTCTTCATCAAGATTGGGAGTGAAAATGAACAAAGTCATACTGTCACCACCTCTATAGTGCTCAAGGCTCTTGACAACGGCATGCACAATCTTGGACTCCTTGCCCCAATGAATTTCATTGGTTTGTTCTGATGTTTCAAGCAGACAAATGAGATAAGTTATGACCAAACCAAGAATTTTCTAAAAATTTTTCTCAAATTCTTCAAGATCTTCATTCACAAAACCAAGATTAAAGAATTAAGGCACAGAAAATCTAGCACAAGCTAAGTGCCCATAATGTTAACAGAAGATCATAAAATGATAAAGATGCATTATGCAATCAACTTTTTTACCCACTGAGCAGAAGAAAACAAATTCCTACACTGAGATTGAAGAAAAAACCTGCCTTTTACACTAATACTTGAACATATGCAATAATCAGATGAATGTACCATACACATTCCTAAAACAACATACATAAAAAATTTCACAGTTGACACATAAAGTCGTGTCTTTGGTTTTCTGAGATGAAGTTCATTCCCCTTGGAAAAACAATTAATGCTAAGGCATATTATGAGACTTTACACTGACTCAGAAATGTCACCAGGAGCAAGGAGATGTTAATACACGTCACTTGACAGTTTAAATGAAACCCTCAAGCTTGTATGTCATCATTTTACTAAAAAAATTCAAGTCAAAGATTCTGGATCACCTATCATATAGCCCAGATTTAGTTCCTGCCCATTTTCATGCACTACTTCATCTAAAGGCATATGTTGCAGGACAAAGCCTTGACAATAACTATGAAGACAGAAGTCATGATATAGGTCAAACAGCAAACAGGAGATTCATGATGCACGATCACAAAAGTTGGCTTCTAGATTTAATAAATCTTCAGATAATGATGACACTTCTTTTAAAATTAATGCTATTGATTATAATTAACTTTTAGTGGAAGTATATTCAAATAACTGATTGAATACTAGCCTCTGTATATTTACTTTTCTGACATATTTCATAAAAGTACTACATATATAAAATGTTAGAAATAAAACAGGTTATTTTCATAACAGAAATTTTAATTACAATACCCATAACTTTAATGTAAAATTAAAATAAAAAAAATTATTTATGAAAAGTAAAACTCACCAGGTGGGAGAGACAATAAAGCATAGTCTTTTAAAAATGAAAGCCAGTAAATACTCAGCAAAGAAAGTTCTGGGGCAACTAATCTCAATAAACTTTCTTGAGTATCTGAAGTTTTATCATTTTCTGAAATTTCACCTTCTGCTAATTTATCATTCATTGCAACAACATATACCTATTAAAAAAGAGCATGCATTCATTAGCAAGACAACCATTACATATTTTGTTTGCATCATAAAGATATACAGTACAAAGTCTGTAATCCGGACATCCATTATCTGGAACAGAGTTCGTAGTCACATTTTAGTTAAAAAAATAAGCACTTATAAGCACTTTTCAAGCACATTTAAAAAAAAAAAAATAAGCACTTGTCTAATTACATTATACACTACATAAACTTAAAAGAAAAATTAGACTTGTAATTTAAAATATGAGAAATTCAGTATTTATTAAGAGAGAATAAGCATTACTCATCCATGGAAAACAACTACATTCTTTTTTTCTTTAATTTTAAATAACAGTTCAATTTACAGAACTAGTTTACAATGAGAGAAAAAAAAACTATGCAGAACTAAATTATATTACAAGATTTAATGATGAAATTTCAGTTCAAAATAGAGAAAATACATAATAATAAGCCATATTTATTATATTCGCCATATTTATTATATGAAATCAGAAGACGGCAAATTGCTTCATGCAGTCATCCTTTAACAGTAAAAGCTTAACTAACCGGCATACTCAGAAATTGCCAAATATCTGAAATTCCGGATAGTGGAGTGTAACTGGTAAAAGTGGAAGGGGGTTGATTGTAGCCATTCTTTAGATTTTTCAGCTAAATAATGCTTTTGACATTCCAATATGTGCATCATATAAAAAATGCTTCCTCACGTGTGCCTTAATTCTTCCTCACGTGATATTACGTAATCGGAATCAACAGGTGCTGGTATTCGGAGAATAAATAACCTAAATAAAGGAAAACAACCCTTTACTTTGTCCGGTTTTCACCGTCAGGTGCCCATGTGTCATATTTTTATCATTGAACAGAACACGTCAATAAAGAGATTTACCAATCTGGGATGTTTTTCATTCTAATTTTGAACAGACTGCATTAAATTTCCAGAATAGAATCATTCTTCGCTTGGGTTGGTAGACCGCAGAACTTTTATTCCTATTCAAACCAGATAGAAAGAGACCCAAAATAAAAGTCCGTTGCTTGCTTTGCTGTGAACTGTAATGGTTTCAATATTCGAGATTTTGCGGAGAAAGGGGAGAACCCCCAACTTCCGTACTGTATAATGCATTGGCAAAGAAAAAAAAAAAAAAAAAAAACTATTTGATTACTTTATTTATGCCATTCCGAATATTATTCCTTAGAAAACTAATCTGTGTTAAAACACACTTACCCATTTTTGAAGTTTATCTATACTTCAGCAGTTACTGCAAATACATTATTATAAATATTCATACATATGCTCATAATATAAAATGATCATAATAAACGCGAATATGAACTGACCACGCGGAACAAGAATGTAAATTATTAAAATCTTGATAGAAATTCAAACATGTGTAGTATTGGGTGGGAGCAAAAGAATACGGAATGCATCGGAATTTCCTACCGCTTTCGCAATTCTTTGACCAATAGAATGACATGCACTTGTCTATACTCACGCGCACCAAAGGCAAAGAATATACAGAGTGTTTCACAGATCATGGGACAAACTTGGAGGGGTTGGTGGAGCGTACTAAAACGTGCATTTATTTATAGGAATGTAGGGTCTAAAGTGATGGGTTAAGGCAGGAACGCATAAAAAACGACACGAGAGGAAAATGTGTTTACGTACAAAATCAATCTATATTGTTCATACATAGACATTGTTGAATACATAGATGTTCTTTGCCAAAGGTTATGTTAATGCAGTGCAAGAGACGAAAAGCTATTTCAAGGAGTATGATTCAACATCTGATGTTACATATAAGGAAGAAAAGTTGCTTATTTAGTTTCGGCTTTGGTAAAAAAAAAAACAAAAAAAAAAAAAAAAAAAGAAAAAAAAAAAAAAAAAAAAAAAAAAAAAAAAAAATAAAAAAAAAAAAAAAAAAAAAAAAAAAAAAAAAAAAAAAAAAAAAAAAAAAAAAAAAATGGCGTTCTTTAAAAAAAAAAAAAAAAAAGGCACTAAAAGCAAAAAAAAAAAAGTACTAAAAACAAAAAATAAGTGCTTTAAAGAAAAAGTAAAAGCACCTATAAGGGCTTTTATATTTTATTTTCAAATATAAGGACTTATAAGCACTTGTAAGGACCGCTACGAACCCTGCGGAATGATCTATAATGCGGACCTCAAAGCCGCAAGCTTTTTTTTTTTTTTTTTTTTTGGTATGCTTTACGCATACGCTTTTAATGTATAATGGAAGGTATAAACTAGGCTAAAATTATCTTTACTGATTCTAAGGCATTTCAGTTAATGTTGAAGATTGCGCCGTTCCTTAATCTTATATTTGGATCCGGCTTATTATTTTTTGCAGACTGTTAGAGCAATTTTATAAAAATTAAGCTTGAACTTTCAATTATGTCAAAAAGAGTTTCCAATTCTGGAGCTGCTAAAGGATCTACAAAGTGAAAGCATGTTTCGATGTCCATCAAACAAAAAATGGAATTGCTGCAAAAAATGGATAAAGGCATATCCGTCTCAAAATTATGCAAGGAATATGAAATTGGAAAGTCAACTGTATATGACATAAGCAAAAAGAAAAAGGGACTTTTTGAACTTTTCATCGATTCTGACACCCCACTTGCAATGAATAACAGAAAAAGGGTTTGTTATGCTAAAAGTGACAATCATGACAAAGCGATGATTAAATGGGTGAGACAGCATCGCAGTGAGACGTGTCATTGACGGGTCCAATGCTAATGACTCAAGCCAAAATATTTCATGAACTTAAACACTGAGTGCACTTATTCGACAGGTTGGTTAATCAAATTTAAAAATCACCATGGTATAAGACAATTAAAAATTTCAGGTGAAAAAGCTTCAGCTGATACTGAAGCTGCTGAACAATTTGCAGATGAATTAATTGAACTCATTACTAGTGAACTAGTGAAGAATTATCTCCAGAACAAATTTACAACGCTGATGAACGCTTTTCTGGCAATCTGTACTGCGAAATACCTTGGCAACCACTACAGAAAAGGCTCCAACTGGTGTCAAAGATTCCAAAGCGAGACTAACAATTTTAGCGTGCACAAATGCTGCAGGAATGCGCAAGTGCAAACTTTTCGTAATCAGAAAACATGCACGACCTCGAGCATTTAAAGGAGTAACGATTTTCCCCGTACATATCGCGCAAATAAAAGAGCATGGATGACACAAGCGTTGATGAATGATTGGTTTGAAAATCATTTTATACCCGAGGCTCGACAACATTTGAATTCAGTTGGTTAACCTGATGACTCAAAAATAGTCCTGATTGTTGACAACTGTTTGGCACATACTTCACTTAAAGTTTTAGTGAAAGATAATGTATCCGTATTATTTCTCCCCTCCAAATTGTATGTCTATCATTCAGCCTACGGATATGGGAATAGTGCATGTGCTTAAATGCAAATATAAAGTAGCATTTTTAAAATCTACGTTAAATTTCTTGAACAATGGCAAGACTATTCAAGACTTTCTGAAATTTTTTAGCATAAAATCTGCTGTGTGGAGCATCGCAAGGTCGTGGGAGGATGTGTCTCCAGATACGTTAAAAAATGCTTGGCATAATTTATGGCCAGCTACCATATTTCATGGTGAGGACGATGAAAATGACAGCTGTGAAAATGAAGGTTTTTGGACATCGCAAACTAAAGGTGAAATTTTCCAGTTATGGGATTTTGTAAAGAAATGTGGAGAAGCGGTAATAAATGAAGATGATATAACAGAAGTTTTTCATTGCGAAGACAATGCCCCAATCATCAATCAATTAACAGACGGCGAAATCTGTAGTATGGTTCTAGATCCAGAAAATTCCACTTCCACTTACTTAAAATAGTGAAGAAAGTGACAGAGAGGTTATTGAAAACGAAAAAATTTCAACTGACAAGTTAGTCGGTATTCTCGACACAGCAATTACAGGACTTGAACAGTGGAACTTTGTAACTGAACAAGAAATTATGTCTGTTTATAGAATTAAAAAGAAAGTATTAGCACAAAAATGAAGCAACTTAAACAACTTACATTGAAAGAAACGTTTAATAAAGTAAACAAATGAATATTAAGCTTTTTTTGCAAATTTTGATACCCTTTAGATCATAATTGATCTTTATTTCATAAATTACGGTTTCATATTTTTAATTGTATGATTTCTGCATGCCATCTTACCAGATTTAAATTGATGATCTATAATCCGGAATCACCAAAGTCCCAGCGAGTCCGGATTACAGACTTTGTACTGTATATTGTTTATATTATAAGGATAGAAAAAGTGATTAGCACAAAGGTGCTTAGTAATAATTTTACAGTCTTAATTATTTGTTGTAACAAACCAGAAAATTAAAATGAGTCATAATTAAAAAATGTTTCAATTCTAAATGTATTTGTAATAAAACCAATTTCCTGATTTTAGAGCACAAATAGTCTAATGTTTCTCTCATCAACTAACCCTGACTTCATATATATATAAAAAAAAAAAAAAAAAAAGGACTTTTATTTTCATTTTCACATCTGGTCGGTACTTCGACGATTCTGGATTTGGGATTTTTCCGGATAATAGATCATTAATTTAAATCTGGCATGCAGAAATTATAAAAAATATGGAATCGTAATTTATGAAATAAAGAAGAATTATGATCTAAAGGGTATCAACAAGAAAAAGCTTAATATTTTTTTGCTTACTTTATTAAACATTTCTTTCAATGTAAGTTGCTTAAGATGCTTCCACAAAAAATTCAAAAAGTTCCTTTTTCTTTTTTCTTATGCCATGTACAGTTGACTTTCCAATGCCTATACTCCTTCGCATAATTTTGAGATGGATATGCTTTTATCCATTTTTTGAAGCAAGTTCCACGTTTGCTTAATGGACATCGAAACATGGTTTCACTTTGTAGATGCTTTGGCAGCTGCAGAATCAGAAACTCTTTTCGACCACAATCGAAAGTTTGATTATGTCAATTCTAAGCTTAGTTTTTATAAAATTGCTGTAATAATAAGTGTCTGCAAAAATTAATAAGCTGAATCAAACTAGAAGATTAACGAGCAGCGCAGTCTGCTACATTAACTGAAATGCCTTAGAATCAGTAAAGAAAATTTTAGCCTAGCTTAATAGCATCCGTTATACATTACTGGTTGGGTATTACAAGATTGGCAACGAAAGCCAAGTTGTTTCGCTAAATTTTGTCTTTCTCCTATTGTGTCCTGAATTGTATTAGCTTAGTTATTTACTATACCTATGTTTATTTCTTGCACATGCTTCAAACTAATCAGAGTCCTGAATAAATAAATTCCCACATATATACTTAAGGCTTTATTCTAGGGCTGGCACTCAATATCACCTGGTGCAGTCTCTATAGGTCCTAAATTCTGCTACAAAGCGCTTTCCTAAGTTCTAAATTTTCACTGTGCCTAAACTTTGGATATAAGTGCTTTCCCTAAATCATAAAAAACTTCTCATCCCTTAATTTTGCCACTCGGTGCTCCAAATTCCAAAAATTTAGTCTTCTCTAAATTCTGCGGTCCGGTATCGACATATTCTGCAGCCACTTCTGGGTTTATGGTGAATAATATATCAGTTATTCTTAATTAAAATAGCACTAAATGTAATCTTTCAGCCTATGAGTTTCATTAACAAAATCTACTTTTAGCATATAAAAAGAAATTTTTGTTAAAATTTCCTCGTCAACATTTCTTAGAGCATTAAAAAATCTATAATCATTGCCAAGCATAATGTTAGCATAAAAGGTTGCCATACTCTTGTTATTCAATTACTAATATGAAAAAAAGTTTAGATATCACAGCATGAGTTATTACTGAAGCTGCCATGTATTGATAAACATGCGGTGATGAAAGCATAATGTAATAAATAATGACTCACCAGGTTGGCGTCAGGGATATAAAATAGGTGAAGGTTTTGGTTTGAGATGTATGCCAAGTAGATACTCAGCTATGGAGCCAAATTATTAATTTCACAAATTTATACTTACATGATTGTTTTTCCATAACGAGGTACTTTATTTAGTGCCTAAGTGAAATTAAGAATCGGAATTTTTAAGTGTGTCTGTGTGTGTGATTATGGCAAAGCCTCGAGGGCTATCTGCCTAAAGGGAGGGATGCCTTTTGTGGAGGACTTTCTAAGGGAAACTGGCTCGTATACACGTTACACATGGGGAAAACCACGAAAACGCCCATGCAGCCAGCCCGTTCGCGGGATTCGAAACTTGGACCGAATTACCAGTGTTCAGTGACTTTACCGCTCGGCCGCTGGTGGGCCGAATTTTGAAGTGAAAATCTCCACATGTTTTATAATGGAAGGAAAAATCAAATGCGCATGTGTAAAGAAAGCATTGATTTTAAAAAAAAATGTTTGTGGCTTTAATGCCTGGATTTTAGATCATTCTGGATAATGGACGTCCGGATTTCAGACTTTGTACTGTGTTAGGAATTTTGAATATATATAATAATTTTAGTGAAATGATATGTGAAACTGTTATATTTCTTTGTATAATGTAACATGGAAATCAAACGAGGCTATGCTTTGCTGGAAACACAAGAATAATAAGTTCTCTTTAACATCGAGTATGTACACATCTTGCTAAATTGGCAAGATATTCCCAAGCTGACAATGATTTTGGTGACTTAATTTTTGTCGCCAAGTTTAGTGAAATTTTGGTGCAGTCCCTGTATTACTGTAATAGATATTTTAATTGAATAACTATGATTAATTTCATATGTAGCTGTAACCATATTCAGCTTACATATGCCTTCCAGTACATTTGAGAAGTACTAGAGATTTCCCAGCAATCAGGGGAAAACTATATAAGCACAGAGAGAGCATCAGTTTTGGACTAGCAGTTGTTACTGCAGAGCAACTTTGGTGTATTGAGATGACAATGAAAGCCTCACCTTTCTACGTGCACTTTGCATTGCATTGTGTTTAATGTTCTTAGTAGTTTGAAACGTAACAAGTAATTTTATTCTGTAATACTGTGAAGACCTGTACGAGTAATTTTATGGAAAACTCCAGAACTGTGAAGTGTTTCTTTTGACAAAATAAATTTTATTAAGCTATCATCCGTTCTGTGTGCATTCAGTCTTTACAAATCTGTACTCATGCTACGATACATAAAATTTGACCTAAAATTCAGGAAAGAATATGTACAATGTATATTAATTAATTAATATAATAGTCACATGTATGAACAACTTACTTCTGCCCATGCTTTTAAAATAGCTAATTTTTCCATCGTTGAAGCACTTTCATTGTATATTAAGCTGCTAGAACCTTTATGAAGTTTTTCAAGTGAAGAAACTAGAAGTTGGTGGACTCGGCGCAAATCATTGAGATCTCGAGCTACACCACACCCAATCCATGCACTGCATACCTGTCAAACAATTTTATGTTACTTTTCATCAAAAAAGATACCTTAAAAATATATTCTGCATTAAAGGTTGTGTTAAATAAATAAAACAGTAAGCTTTTTATACTTAAGGTAAAAAGCTCTGCAGATTTTCATAGCACATCTGCCAGATTTTATAACTTCTTGCATTTTTTATGAAGACAATTCTAGTTTTAGAGTTTTATATGTGAAATCCTTTTTTATGGATTATGTAGCTTTTTGATAAAGAAGCCAAACATTATACCAATTTAGGTAATTAACAACCAAATATATATTTTACAAGTGTAGTCTTAATTTGGGTTGCCATCTGAACTAGTCCAATATATTTCATCAAAAACCAGTTTTCCCTATTTGGAATTTGAATTCTGCTACTGGGCATGACTAGATTTGATAAGTTTTAAAATCAATTAGGTAGTCAAAATTTTGACTTAGTGACTTGAAAATATTATAAATATGATAATGTCAATATCAATATTATGAATTTTGGGAAGAGCATATAATCTGGCACAATTCGCAACAGATGGGATAAGCGAATGTTTTAAGTTGCTTGAAATGATTTGTGAAGATTTGATCGCAGTTTTTATTTTTCACAGGTTTGAAGGTGAAGGATCTTAAGGGATCAGATTATATGGTCCTTTGTTTAAGAGTTTAGTGACACCATCGATGTAAGTGTTCTTATCCATGACGACTATCTGGCCACCTTTGTCAGCCTCTGAAATGATAATATCCGGGTTAGAATGAATTTCGCACATTGTAGCTCTTTCTCTCGCAGTTAGATTTGGTTTCAAAGGTTTGTCTTCTGAATTAGTATTTGTTTGACTTCTGAATTAGTATTTGTTCGACGGTGTGTTATTGTATCTTAACAATTGTAATATTTAATAATTGTTCACTAGTTTCTTACAAACAAGAAAAGTTACCAAATATCTCACATTTATATATATATATGAAAGATGTATTCTTTCAATTTTAAAACCATATATATATATATATATATATATATAACATACACAGAATTTAGTAAAATTTTTAATATTTACTTGACAAGCAAATGCAGTAATATGAGATGGAGTTTCTGGTGAAAATGCAGGACGTAAGGCAGCTCCAACCTGAAAACACAAATTAAAAAATAAATTAGTTAGTAAAAACTGCTTAAACCATTTGCAAAAGCACTACACACTATGATTTTAACTTTCATAATTGAAGCACTTTTGTGGTACATTCAATAACAAATACTTATTAACAAATAAGCTGCATAAAATAATTTTTGTAGGTATACATATATATAAATAATAATTACTTGTGCTTGATACTGTTCTAAAATCACATGACCTGGAAATTCTGGTTCTGGTACTTTTGCAAATTTGCTGATTATCATCTAAAAAAAAGTTTTATTTAAAAAAGGAAATTAAAAATAAATCATCTCAATGAATACATACATTCAGCATTATGTTAAAAACAGAACAGGCACCAGAGTGTAATATTCAACTGAATGATAATCATGCCACTCAGTTCTCCAGATAGGAAAGAACAGACTGAAACATTTTTTTTAAAAATTTCCTGAATGTTATGTCCCTGACTTAATCAGATAACTGTTGAATGTTGTGCTGCAGACAACTCTTCACTACTATTCCAGTAAAAGATTCTGCTAAAAACAGTGTTATGAATAAATAATTTCACTTTCAGTGCCCCAAAAAAAGTTCAGTGTGTCAGTGAATAAACCGAGTCTAAACTGAGTTTGATTCTTTCTTCTTAAACAGCTTGTGCATTGCTGCACCAAATGAAAGGATATTAATACTTTAAATAAATGAACTATTAATATAAACAGCATTACATTGCTGAGCTCTTTAGATTGGCATAGCCTACATTATGCTAGCAGCAGTTTTGAAATGTTGTGCCATGCTACATTATTCAAGAAACAGCAAGAACTTCCTCATCAAAATCAGTGAACTGCAGGCTTCAAATTCAATTTTCCCTTGAACAACACCAACAGACAAGTTTCTAAGCAATGACGGCGCATGTACTGAATAGAAGAAAATGAAACTTTCCTTCTTAAAGAAACAGCCATTATTTCTGCATGCTTCAGAAATTCACTTTCAAAAAGCATTTATTTGAGGATTTAATTATAGCTTTACAAAATTCCCCTACAATGGAATAAAACTGTGAAGCTGTAAGGTTCTTTTCCAGAATATAACCTCTAATATTAGCACTAATAACCAGGTCAAGATTATCATACTGGTTTTTCCTTTTATGAAAGTCAAACATTGAAATTTGATGCATTATCAGCTTTAAATAGTCATACAGTCAGTTTAACATGTCTTACTATTAAATCCGTGGAAGAAATATGTTTCTTCTGAAGAACATATATTTAGGGAACTTCTAGCAAAAGAAACACATTAGTGGAAATACAAATCGGAACACTATTACTGAAGAACAGATAGTAACAGATTTAAAAATCGTTATTTGCATTAGAAAATAAATGTTCTAAAGCTTTAAATTGTTCAATTATTTTGTTAACAGAATCTAGAAAGGTTGAAAAGTGAATGTTCAGGTTTCAAAATTTTGTGAGGTTTAGTTCTACAGACAGTTGGCATAATTTGAGAGAATTTGCACATTCTGCACTTTTCTGAAGAAAATAATAAAGCTGAATAAAAAACTGTTTAATACTCAAGTCTAAGAATTGTATTAAGGCATCCTGAGCAGCTATGCGAAGAAAATGACAATATCCTCTGTGCATAGCTCACATAGCTATGAACAGATGGTTGAATATTTTTAATGAAAGCTACAGTTCTTTTTGCATTGCCTCACCATAGTGTTTGTATTATCACAAACAAAGGTGACACTATTTCTCAAAAGCATATACTTCTGAGTAAAATAACTCTTCAAGATAATGATAATGCCTTTCATAGGCTCTTAATGGATTCGTATATAGGTAACAATGATGAGTATATTTGGTCTGAATTATTGGTGTAGTATGAAATAACATCAGAGAAAATTTTTCAGAACATGCATTGCAATCTGAACTACCATGAATGGCTAAGACAAACAGTGCATTTTTCAATATTTACACAATTCCCTTTCTCGTAGAATCCACCATACACCTAGTCAAAGCAGTTGCTTCAGTCTCCCATATACAACTGCTTTGGCTGTGGCAGAATAAAGAAACAATGTTTGAAATAAAGAATTCATAACGTACATATATGGTTCTGTTGAAAATAAAAGCTCTGCATTTATAACAAAACTGTAAAAAATTTTATGCAAAATTATGATATTGCCTTAGTAGAAATGAAGCAGATGTCATTTTTACGTAGTCCTGATGCTTAAATGACTGAACATGTGTCCTGCAGTTGTCACGAATGGCATGAGTGACTGAAAAATTTGTATTGAACATAATTTTCTAAAAGCTTTTAAGCAAATAAACATTGCCAATCTTCTGCAAAATATGTTACATTTCTAAAAATAACATGATAAGTCTCCTAACAATTAAAAAAAAAAAATACATGCAAGATCCATCTGCACGTGTTTACAGCCACAACAAGCTACATAATAAAGCCTGATATTAATCGCATAGCACATATACATGATGTCAGCATAAAATTTTCAGTTCAATTGACACAATTCTGTTGCAACAATAACACAGTTGTAGGTGTTGATCTTTCACGTTTGTGTACTAACACAGAGTAGTTATCCTTTTCAAAACTGGCATTTTTTAACAAGAGGAGAGAGATAATAATTATAGGAAATCTGAAGTAGTTGACATCTCTAGTTATGTCGAATTTAGAGGTTTCTCCACATATTACTCAGGTACACATATATTGTGAATACTAATACGTTTTTCAATAGTATTTGATGCTTGACTTTTTTTCACTGGTGCATCTTCTATATGATGAATCAATCCCAATATCTTTCTCATGTTTAAGGAAAATTCTCATCCTCATTGTTAGGTATTGTCTATCACATCTGTCGAAATGCATCGTGTAGCCAGGGAATCATTCATAACTCAAGAAAGTGAGGAAAATGAAAAAAAAAATTGACTCCTATTTTACATTTCAAATATGTTACACAAAACATTACATAATTTTTGCATTTTCTGTTCACAAGATAAATGGTAGTTTACACCTCCCAAGAAGTTTTTAATATTTTCACATTTTATTCTAGTTTTTACAAAACTTACTAAATTTATGTTCTTTATGACTATTGAAAAAATACTCGACTATTGAAAAATACTCGACTATTGAAAAAAATACTCGACCAAACTTGAACTGCATATTTATTATTTTTTAATAAAAGATGTTCGCTGAAAAATTTTCAAGTTTTAATTTCCAATAAACAGAACATTTTGTCTCTCTAAAGACCAGTCACAAAAACAAAATGACTTTCAATGCCCTTTGTCCTCTTGAATTTTGCAAGAACAATACATTCCAATACAAAGGAGCATAAAATCTAACCAACTGACTATTTTTCATTCCTACTCATATCCCTTCTGCCCTTCTGATGAAGTCCTCCATGGAAAGGGCAAACTTGAGTTTTGATCCACTTTGAAATTTTTAAGACATTCACAGTCTGCATGATCCATGTAATATGTTGCTGTGGTTTTTAATTATAACTTATGCTGCTGTAAAATGCAATCACACTGCTGAACTTTCAATTTGTAATTAGCATAGCATTCATTCTTAAGCATACAAAGGTTTGGGGGAGATTTTTGATGGAATAATAATAAATAAATTTCAAAACATACATGTTTTTCAGATAAATGAGTTCAATATAGATAGGGTAAACAGCATATACTATTATCAATTTACTTCCATTCAGAACTCCTGCTAGACATTTATGTAATTATAAACTGCCTTAATTCAGGATAGTTTTATTATGAACATATACAGTACAAAGTCCGAAATCCAGACTAATTAACATATTTTGTAAAGAAAAGTGGAGAAGCAGTAATAAATGAAGATGATATAAAAGAAGTTTTTCATTGTGATGACAGTGCTTCTCAATCATCAATCAATTAATGAATGGCGAAATTTGTAATCCAGAAATCCAGAAAATACCACTACCGATAAAAGTGATAGAGAAGCTACTGAAAACGAGAAAATCTGGATTGACAAGTTAGTCGGAATTCTCAAAACAGCAGTTACAGGACTTCAACAATGTAACTAAACAAGAGATTATGTCTGCTTACAGAATTAAAGAGAAAGTATTATCACAAAAAACGAAGCAACTTAAACAATTTACATTAAAAGAAATGTTTAATAAAACAAATATTAAGTTTTTTTTTTTTTTTTTTTTTTTTTTTTTTTGTAAATTTTGATACCATTTAGATCATAAATACTTCATTATTTCATAAATCATGATTTAATATTTTTCATTTTATGATTTCTACATGCCAACTTACTAGATTTAAACTGATGATCTAATATCTCGAAAAATCACAAATCCGGATTCACCAATGAGTCTGGATTTCAGACTTTGTACTGTATTATGATGAAACAGGTGTATTTTGAATATACATAATGATGAAAATGATCATAATTAGTTTACATAAATACAATATTTTATCTTTTAATATATTATAGCAAAAAGTTATAAATACTCCAAATCCAGATCTTTAGAGAATCATAGAAAAACTAAATCATATTTATAAGTTATCTAAAACATAAATCGTTGTATTTTCATGGGTGTTAAAGACAGTAGGGGTAATGCAAAAATATTTGCTAAATCGTGATTTCTAAGAGAAAAAATATATTTTAAAAATGTAAAATAAATTATCTTGTACAAACAGTGCTACACAAACGTGTCTTTCTTAGAATGTTAATCTAATAAAAAAAAGCATTTTTAATTCTTTCCATGCTTTGATTTAATTTCCATTAATTATTTTGAATATTAAGTCAGCATTTCTAATCAAATATTTTTATTAAAGTAATTTATATTAAATATGATTTCAAGTCGTAATTATTTTGCAAGTTTCATTTTTTGTAATATCAAATTAAATTACACCTCCTATAACTAATTACTGATATAAGAAATAACTTAATATTATACCTGCAAAGCTTTCAGACCTTCAATTCTAAGGGCATCACTATCTGATGTTGCAGCCATAAAAGCCATTCTTACCAGGTCAGATAAGTATAAAACAAGGTATTCTGAAATGTAATCATAAATAAATTAACTGAATCAAATTTAAAATAAATCAATAAAATACAATTTTTTCATTCTTTTGGCTATCTTACTTTCTTTCATATATGTTGCATATTAAAAAAATGTAATCAACTATTTAACACACTCACATATGGTTCTCAATTCAAGAGAAAATATTTTTACTAAAAGACTGCTTCACTTTAATGCTTTCGTGATGAAACACAGCAGGAGAAATTAATTTGTTTGCATACACATGGATTTCAATAAAAGACTAGCGTTGCCAAGCATTTATACTCCTTTTTTTTAACAATGTCACTTTTTTTTAATGAACAATCAGAAATGCTCATTATGGTAATGAACCAAAAAGGTAATTTGTAACTGGCACCTGATTTCTCAATGAGACCTTTGGGATCCCCATAAATTATGGATTTAAATTTTTTTAAATAACTACACTAATAACAAAATGCAATGATAATGATATCCTAACACAGAATTTTAAAATATGCCAAGTATAGATGCACAATAATAGCACAAAGTGCAGGATTTAAAAAACAATAAAATTTATTTATGATGCAAGAAGAAAAACTGTGAAAAACAGAAGGCATTAATTACTGTCAGATTAGGTGACGAAGTCACTTCTCCAGGCTCCTGCGTGTCGCCCTAGCCTGTGCGTAATATGTGAAAAAATTTTGGCATAGCTTTTATAGGCATAGCATTGTAGTAATTAATTATTGTCTTATGATATTTATAATGTGTGACAATTATTTTTGATATTAGTAACAACTTTATATGACTTTATTATAAGAATGTTAGGGGATATCTGTTACAAAATTTTCATTTGGAATGATAAGTTAACAATACAATTATGTATGACTGACATTCATAATCATTTGCTTATATCAATGAAATCTTCACACTTGCTTTCCAAACATTAAAATGAAATACTAAATTCAGTATACCACTGGAAGTTAGTTTTTGATGGAATGTAAATTTCACAAGAAAGTTGCCATTTTAACATTGATAGTATAATCTTCTGAATTTTACATAAACTTTGCACTGATGTTTCATTTTTTCAGTTAGATGATAGAATGTATTAGAAAGCAAAAACTGCCACTCTTGGATAAAGGCAGTTTGCAAAGCTTAAAGAGCAGTTGGAAGAAATTAATGGGTAGAGGCAAGTCTTCCAATAACATTCCAAAAGATTTTCAGTGTTATTGGTAATCATAAAGATTTTCAGTGGCAGGAAAGAGTCAGAATGAAATCCTTGCACAATTCATAGAATAAGTGATGCAGTTTCATAAAATACACAAAACTTTTGATTCTGATACATTCCTGCTATCATAGCATTTCCCTGTGCATATTGTAATATTCCAAAGAAATTGCAATCCCATCACACAGCCACAACCCATGAGGAAGGATGGGTGTTTTCCTTATTTTCTCCAGACCTTTGCAAATTACTGTTTGATTTTAGAGGAAATTTTGATTCAAATGTGAAGATTCCATAGGACTAAAGCTTCCCAGGTAGATGAATTTATTTTTAATTGAGCTCCTCTATTTAATTTATCAACATTCAGAAAGATACAAACTCATGACGCCCAGACACATAATGGTTATGTTTGTTAGTTTGCAACATTGGCAATGAGGATTGCTTTATAAATACACAAAGAACTGAATTGAAAAATTGCTGAAATGAGAGGAGCTGAATTTTTAGAGTACAATATTGCCACTCATTAAAATGAACTTCTAACGCATATTTCCACAGGGCACTTTAATTTTAATAGGACAGAATTCTTTTATTCAAAATTTATGGTTGGGGGTCAGAATAATGTTTACAATCTTTGGTTACAGAGAAAGAAGACTATTTTTTAAAGCTGAAATAGCAACATAACTAATTATTTTGATTTTCAGAAGCATTTATGAATCAAAACTTGATAAGTTCATATACAGTTACATACAGTTCATATACAGTGTATTAATATGCATTTTTATTCTTAAAATATGAAAATGAAAATTTAAAAAATATAAAATAACGTCTATATAAAAGATAGTGAATTCTGGATCAAATCCAGAAACATTTCTTATGATACTTTGCTTATTTATGAGATGCTTATAACAACAGGGAATTAATATGTTGACACAAATGAAAAATATTACAAATAATACACATGAAATGCTTTCATACATTATTTGAAATATTTTAAGCAACAAAAATTTTTCATGACCTACATGAAGTATTTTGCTTTTGTGGCAAAATCTTAAATCCATAGAAATAACTTGGTAACAACAAAAAATAAAACAAAATAGTGAAATATACATATATTATTTTACCCCATTTACTGCTCATCTTGCTTTCTCTGGCTTGAGCAAGGTCAAAATGAATTGCTTTAACTTCGCAAGCTGTAATTATTCTTTGAAGTGATTCAGCTGCAAATACTCTTGTGGACCAACGAGGAGACACAGCAACATGTGAGGTTTCTTCACTAGCCTTAAATCTTGCTTCATCATCTGCATCAACTTCATTTTCAACATCATTATTATCATCTTTTTCCTCTTTTGATGCCGTCAAATCTGTTTTAAAACGTTTTAAGAATTTATTACATTTAATGTGGGAAAAAAAATCCTATTTTCCTCTCTATATATTTATTTATTATTTCTACTTTCTATTCTTTTCAAATTAAATTCTGCTATTTATGACTTTAACTAAGAAAAGCCAAGAACAGATGCAATCGTTACTCTTTTCTATGATAACAGTCATAGGATTGTAATATTGTGCAAAAGTTAATGTATTTAAGTATCTAAGCATATCAATCCTTGAAAACTGGAAACAGTCAAAGGGCACACAAAACAAACTCTTAAAGATTCCTTTCATTTAATTAAAACGTTCAGAATAATAACATGGACTGGAAAGAAAGTAATTTTGGTTTTTTAGTGTGAAATGAAACAAAATTTTCTTCTTATCAAAAAATGAACTTTAATCAGTTAAATAACTTCCAATCTGTTCGATGACCTTTTGCCATCTTTTTGGTAACTTCATGATTCCACACTTATAGAACTTATTACACTATAACATATATAATTTATTACACTCTAATGCAATCTGAAAAATGGTAATGAGCAATTTAAAAATTTTTCAACAAACGAATTCAAAACTATCATGAAATTGCTTAGCTTCAGATTATAACAAGATGAAATGTGAAAATAGGAAAGGTACAGGCAAAAGCTACAATAGAAAGCAAATGTTTTTACAGTCAGAAATAATGTTAAAATACACTTAAATTAATGTTTAAATAATAACCTGGAATGATTAAAAAGTCCACATATAAATCTCATTTCAATAAATGTTTGTAATTATTGTTCTAGCATTTTGAACCAAAATTATCTAATACAATCTTCTGAGTTAATTTGCTGTATTGACTGCTCATGTTTACATGCAATGGGGTTATGCTGTAGTTGGGGGTTAGCGCTGTTGTCTGCTGTATCCCTGGGACATTTCGAATTTAGGAGAAATTTTTGTAAGCGTATAGTGTCATTGCAAATCCTCTGAAGTGGCTTTGTGTTAGGAAAAGATAGATGGGAAACCCTTGGATCCATCCCCTGAAGGATTGTTATTCAAAATTGTAATAGAACTGGCCAAAGTTGTGCTGTCATGTAGAAGATATTTAAAGGCCAGGCCAAGAACAGATGCAATCGTTACTCTTTTCTATGATAACAGTCATAGGATTGTAATATTGTGCAAAAGTTAATGGATTTAAGTATCTAAGCATATCAATCCTTGAAAACTGGAAACAGTCAAAGGGCACACAAAACAAACTCTTAAAGATTCCTTTCATTTAATTAAAACGTTCAGAATAATAACATGGACTGGAAAGAAAGTAATTTTGGTTTTTTAGTGTGAAATGAAACAAAATTTTCTTCTTATCAAAAAATGAACTTTAATCAGTTAAATAACTTCCAATCTGTTCGATGACCTTTTGCCATCTTTTTGGTAACTTCATGATTCCACACTTATAGAACTTCTAGTATTTATCAGCAAAAAACTCAACCAAATGTGATTTGAGGTCATTGTTATTACCGAAATTTTCACCATTTATGAAAAGCTTTGAAATAAATGATAATCCGAAAATTCAAGGCCAAAGCCATATGGAGGATGTGACATCACTTCTCAAGCAAACTCCAATAATTTTGTAGTGTTGCTAAAGATGAGTAAGCCTCACACTGTCAAGGTGGAACACGATTCCTTTACAATTTAGAAATTTGGGCCCTTTTCTTTTTCACTGTTTCCACCAATTTCACAAGTTGTTGACAGTAAACACCTGGACGCCTATTCTAGGATCACTGAATCCGTCTTCAACTTCAGCGAACAATGTTGACTTAAAAAAACCAGCATGGACAGCCATCACAACTTAATGAAGAAAGCCATTCTGTGATCCTCTGTTGGTGGGCAGGTGGGTTCATTTGACTTTACTGAAAGGGGACAAGGCTTCAAGGAGCTTTAGACCAATCGCAATACAGATGAGTGATGAAATTTATAGTGCGTGCTAGCTGAAGTTCTAGGAATATTCTCCCATTATTTCACTAACTCACAAGCTGCATTTGCAGTTAAAAAAAAATGGCACAAAATAGTATTATGACCAACATGCAGCAGAATATGCTGCTGTGTTATGTGAAGGAAAATCGTGTTTTAAGGGGAAAGTTAATGCAAGAATTTAGGGCTAAGAAATAAAGAGTGATGTGGGATACCATGAAAGCAATGGTAAATAGTTAAGAGTAATGAGTATTTTAATCATTTAAATTTATAATATGATTAATTTGCATTACAATCTAATAGCAAACTAAGTTGTTTTTTTTCATGCTTATATTAAAACTGTGTTTTCATGCAATTTATTTTACAGTTAATATTAGAAAAATATTTCTTTAAGTAAGAAATTAGAAAGAAAATATTTCTTTCTTAATGTTTTTCTTTTTTTTCTTTTTTTTTTTTTTAAATTTTCTGATTCTATGAAAATTATTTCTTTCAGGAAAAGAAATAAAATTCATTCGCTATTACAGTATGGCCGATTGCTGCTGCATTCAGCTATCACACATGCATCAAAATGTTTTATTTAAAATAATTTATTCTATAATTAGCATGAAAGAAAATATTTTTTCAATATAAAATATATAACCAAAATTATACTAATCTATCCTGTACGTGTGATTAATTTGTATTGCAATTTTTATCACACAATTACTAATATTTTTATTTTAATATTACATTGCTGTTATTATAATTTCTTATATATATAAGAACTGCTTATTTTAAATATTCTTCCTTCTCAAAAGATTTTACTCTGTGAAAATAATTAAAAGATAGTAATATTATTTTCACAATGCAAGTACTAAAGTAAAAATAATCAGTGTAGGTCGCCTGCAGTTGAAGTCCTTGTTAAACCAGCGTTTCGACACATTAAATAAACTAATAATAATAAATATCTCTTTTACAATATAAAAATGAGAACTCTGCTATGAACAGTATTTTTTTTTTTTTTTAGTTTGCAAAGCAGCAATGATTTTTTCATACTGATAGATTACAAAAGTACTATTCCGTGAACAAACCCCCATTGTTACTTTATAGCATAACACAATAATAATGCAGTATAATTCTGTTAATAAGCCTACCAACGGCCAAGCGATAGATCGCTGAATGCAGGTAGGTTGGTCTGAGGTTTGAATCCCGTGAACGAGCTGGCCGCATCGGCATTTTCATGGCTTTCCCCATGTGTAACGTGTATACCTCAGAAAGTTCTCCCTTAGAAACCAGTTTTAAATCGCAATAAAATTACACACACCAAAAATAAATAAATAAATAAATCTGAAAGCCTTCAGATTTTATATTACTCCCAAAGGGCCCTTTTTTTAATGTTTTGCGTGTTATCTTTATTCATTAAATATCATGTTCTTTGGACTTAAACCATAAAATTCACTTCAACAGCAATATCATATAATTTAAAAAGAGCATATTTTTAGAATTTCCGATATTTAGGCTCATGCACTAGAGATGAAAATGTTTTTTCTCTCTCTTCCCCCCCCCATACAATGTTGCCATTGGTCGCTTTGAAATCGTTGAGTTTCTCAATAAAACACTCATAAATGCTTTACAAAATATGAAATAGATAATAAAAACAAATTCCCAGTTCCAAATTTGGTCCTCCAGATGCCTATATTAGGATGGAAGATTATATTACTCAAAATTTCATGGCTCTAGGTACCGTTGTTTTATCACAGTGCAAAAAACATTCAGACATTTATGCAGATTCTTCATTATTTAATTTCTTTAAATATAATATTTGGTGACAACAATTTGATTTTCATTTTTACTTACAGTAATGTGACTTTTGCATAATAATGAACAACATTCCTTTCTGTGTTCACAATATTGTTCATAAGGTATTCAACTGTTAGATTTTAAAATAAACATAATTCTTGCTGTACATAAATTGAGTAGAAGCTTATCAGATGTCTATATTTGAATTAAATGAAGAAGATTTATGTGCTTGATAAACTTACTACCTTCTACACTTTTATAGCATATAATTACAATTTATATTTATAATTTCAAGAACAGTACAAATAACCTTTCTTTCAGTGGAAATTGCATTCTTGTTTTCTGAATGTGTCTCCAAATACTCTCTCAGTTCATCACAAATTAAGATAACTATAAATTTTGTCAATCTGAAATATGCAATGAAAACATCTTCTGGCAGAGCAAAAGCATCAACATATTTTCTATAAATTCGCCACCGATTCAGAGATTTACAACCATAATCTCCGTTTAAATACTAAAAAACACATACAAAGCCATTGTCTATTTAGAACGTCAACTGTCTGATTAACGTCAACAAGTCTGATTGACTACGGGGCAACACTTTTCCCCGAGCTTCCGACTCAGAGAATATGGGATGTTCGTTAGACCTGTTTTTCACTAGCAGTGACATCTGATGGCCCATAAACTGCTTCTGACTCTCGTAGCTTAGAATAGGCGTCCTGAGTTGAATGTCCAGTTGCTTGGAAGCAGCTCAAAATATACACCACCTTTGTAATCCCACCAAACTGACAGCATATTCCTTATTTGATGCAATTTAGCTGCTGATATGATTTGTGCTGATTTATAATGTGTGGATCATGATCGTTTTTGATTAATATTATTGTAGACTATCCATTTTTCATCATCAGCGATAAATGGTTTGAAAAAACGAGTCAGATTCATTCTGTTAAGTGAACTTCCTTCAATTCAAGTGGAACCCAAATATCAAGCTTTTTAATGACTCCAATATATCTTATGTGATTTTTAATTGTTGTGTGTGATACACTTAACTGTTTTACAATCTTTCACACATTTATATGATCAATTACGGCTTTAATTTTGTCATCATCAACTTCAGAAGGTTAGCTAGAACACTGGTTATCTTCAAGTGAAAAATCTCCACAACAAAATTTTTTAAACCAATTCTGATACACGTGTCAACACCATAAACACTTATCTCTTTCTGAGCCTCAGCTGCTTTCTTGCCTTTATAAAAATAAAAAAG